TTTCGGGGAGCCCTTCTCGACAGGTTTAGTGCGGAAGATGACGCACCGGGTGACCCGTTTGACGTACCCGTCGTCCCGAGGCGAGCGATTACTTGGCAGGACAATGTTAGCGGAGAAGAAGTGAAGACGGCCACCTTAACAAAGACAACGACCCCTGGTGTGGACGGCATCACAACACGCCTCCTCCAGGCATGCTGGGATGTCATCTCGGAACCGGTCAGGCAGCTATTCCAGTCCTGTATGCGGGCCGGCCACTTTCCTCTGCCCTTCCGCAGAGCTGAGGTGGTCATGATCCAGAAGGCCGGCAGGGATGCCTCCAAGCCCGGGTCCTGGCGGCCGATCGCGCTCCTCTCGTGCCTGGGCAAGGGACTAGAGCGACTGATAGCCAGAAGGATGGCGTCCCTGGCGATTGTCGAGCGCATCATCAGTCCGCAACAGATCGGGGCTCTACAAGGCAGGTCAGCCGTCGATCTGACGACCTGCCTCACCCACGACATCGAGATGGCCCTCCTAAAAGGACTCACGGCGACACTTCTGACTATGGACGTAAAAGGGGCGTTCGACTCCGTCCTTCGGAACCGGCTCGTCATTAGACTGCGTCAGCAGGGATGGCCACATGGCCTGACCAGACTGATCTTTAGCTTCTGCTGCAACCGCACCGCTAGAGTCCGACTGGAAGAAAGCACAACGGAGTACTTCCCGCTGTCATGCGGGCTGCCTCAGGGGTCACCACTATCTCCCATTGCCTTTCTGCTCTACATCGCAGAGATACTTGAAGACGACCCGAACGCGCGATTCGGGTACGCGGACGACATCGCCACTCTGGCCATCAGCCCCTCCCTGGAGAGCAACGTCGCAATACTCAACCGAAGCGCAGCCGGCATTCTCAGATGGGGCTTGGAGAACAAGGTCTCCTTTGACCCGAGCAAGTGCGAGGTCATCCACTTTACTAGGAAGCACGGCCAGCCAGCGGAGCTGCCAGAGGTCCGGGCGGGGGATTTGGTGGTCAAGGCCTCGACGAAACCTGTACGCTGGCTGGGTGTCTGGTTCGACAAGAGACTGTCCTTCCGGCACCATGTCGACGCAAAAGTAGCTGCAGCAAAGAGGGCAGCTCAACATCTGAGACAGCTTACGAACACAAAGAGGGGACTCCCAGCGGCCGCCGTGCGAAAAGCCGTCGTCTCCTGCGTACTGCCGATCGCGCTCTTCGGCGCCGAAACATGGTACGCAGGTATCACGAAGCCGGCTTCGAGACGCCAAGCGGAGACAGACACGAATCCGCCTCTCCAAGGAAGACCCGTCAACACAGGCCAAAAGGGGCTCGTGCAGAAGATCGACAGCGTCATTACAGCGGCAGCAAGGGCCGTTCTGCCTGTCTGGAGGACAACGCCAACCAGTAGCCTCCTCCGAGACGCCGGCTTACCGTCAGCCAAAGTCGCCTTAGAGGGCGTCCGCTTACGGGCCGCAGTCCGACTACAGAGGATTGATCGCCGACACCCGCTAGTCGCGCGGCTCTCCCAGCAGGGACAGCAACAGACGAGACTACAACGGACGGCTGAACTTCTGCCAAGATGCGGAAGACCAGCGTTCCTTCAATCACAGTACCTGCCAAGCTCACAGGATCAGATAGTAGTTCAATGCAAAGAAGAGGCTGCGAAAGCTTTCGAGCGCTGGCTAAAGACAGTACCGGAAAGCCATATGATCGTCTTCTCGGACGGCTCCAGGGCGACGAACGGAGCCGTGGGGTACGGCTTCGTCATCTACCGAGACTCCAAACGCATAGCACAAGGGTGCGGCCGACTCGGACTAGCAGAAGTGTTCGACGCCGAGGTCGAAGGGGCGCGAACCGGCCTCAGAAGGGCTCTGCTCACCAATCGCGGTCATCCAATCCACATATGTATCGACAACACCAGCGTTATACAAGGCATCCGCGGCAAGGCGCCGGACTCGTCACAAGACGCGTTCCTCGAAATCCAAGAAGCGGCCAGGATATTTGATATACGGACGCACTGGTCCCCGGGACACCAGGGCATCGAAGGAAACGAGGCCGCGGACCGGCTGGCCAAAGAAGGAACGACACTGCCGGCGCGGATGGGTCAAATGGCAACACTAGCGGGCATCAAGCGGCTTGCAAGGGAAAAATTACAAAGCCAGCACAGGAGATGGTGGTATAAAGAGCGAAGGCCGCGGTACGCGGACTTGGGGCTTGAGGCAGCTCTGTCCAGCCCTCCTGAACTGGCCTTGCCGCGGGCTACGTTACATCACCTGCTGGCGGCACGATCGGGTCACGGGGACTTCGAGCAATATCACCGACGTTTCAACCACGACGACGCTCTAATGATGTGCTCTTGTGGAGAGGCGAAAGACGTGGACCACCTGGTCTACTGTCGACTAACGCTGGCGAGGAGGCAACGGTGGCCGACCCTCCACTCTCGCAGTATGCCCGAGCCCATAGGCCCTATGGGATCTCTCGAGGCCTACTTCAAGAGATTAATCACCGACCCACGAGGCTTCGAGGCCTTTCTCCGCGTGACGGACTTCTTCCAGAAGATCTGTCTGCGGTAGCAGCATCCACACCTACGTAGATGTGAGTGCGGACTACAAAGAACCTCCCGATTCCAAGGGACGATTTGGGAAAGAATGAAACTGGGGCACCAGCGGGAACCGGGGACAGACAGAACGCGTAGTGGCCACAAGGCATGATTTGGAGGACGATGTAAAGAGACGACGTACTGTAGAGTAGGTAGCCTTGGCTCACGGCCCTCCACGCCATATACCCTTCGGGAGGTCTGCGGTAAGGGCTCTAGCCCGGCCGCCACGGCGTTAAATACAACAACAACAACAACAACAACTGGGTGGTGTAGCCTGCCGCATCGATCATGACTGCGAGGTGGTAACCGGTGAGACTCCACCAAAATTCGATGTCCTTGTTTCCTGCTGGCGGCAGACATTTCTTAAGTGACTGCCAAACCACGAGTGGCTTCTCCTGCTTCTCGGATTGGACTAGGGTTTGAGTTGTAAGTCCAGGCATCGTGGGATAGGACACATGAAACAGACTAAATGAGGAATTGTTTATCTCTCAGACACATCAAGGCCTCTATTGTGATCATCTTTTTCAGCGCAATATATGGCGGTTAAGATGGGCTGGTGTTGGCCGATTTGAGTCCGATGCCAGTGGGTTGACGGGACCCGAGTTACGAGTTCGCCCCAGGCCAACCGCGAACAAGAAGAGTTGTTTTGAGGTAAGTTCCCCAGCTAGTGCGTGGCTTACTTACACATTAATCCTACTGACACTAATGCACATAAGACTGCGCAGTCTACTTTAGGTATGCCAACTCGGCCCCGGACCCGACAATCTGCACAGCTCTGGTCTACACAGCTACGTTATGACAGAGAGCTGGCGCACGAGTAGATGAGCTGCACATAGACAGTTCAACGGAACATTCAGTCCTTTTTCACACATTATATTATGTAGAGAATTCGTGTTCGGTTGAGACCACGTCTAAGTGATGAGGAGGAATTGGAAAACGGCTTCAGCAGGTAAGGTAGGTTATATCTCAAAGACACCGGTTGTGAAGAATGAAAGGGTTTGGCTCAGGCGATATATTTTACTTGCAAGAAAAACAAACCGAAATACTCTACAAAGTTATCGAATTGTTTCCAAGATCCTAGCTACGAGTTGAAAGTTTGACGTGGAATCCTGAAGGCTTCGCAAGCCACTTGTTCTCAACAGTCCAATTCTCATCTTGATTTACCAATCGTATCTAGTGCGGATATTCAGTCAACTCAGATCCTCAATTGAATTGTACCGCTAGTTTACTCACATTGTAGCGCTGTAGTAGCGAGGGGATTAGCTTGTATATCTCAAAGTAGGCGAGGTGCTTTCCGAGGCAGCTTCGGTGGCCAGCGCCAAACTTGTGAAGCCAAGAACGTTAACGCGATTCCAATTGAAGCTCATATTGTTGGTCAGACTTACCGTCAGAAGCGCATTGTACATAGCTGAGTGCCTGTCTTCATCACACAGCCATCTCTCGGGTCGCCAAAGGTCCGGTTCGTCGCCATACAGTGATACTTCGCGATGCAGCGACCACGGGTTCTGAGGAGTTGGGGTGAGTTGTTAGCACCAAAGGCATATTTCATGCTTAGCCATAAGATGAGAAACAGTCGCCTTACGATTCCGATTCTTGTTCCCGGGGGAATGTGGTAGCCGTCTATCTTCAGTCCACATTCCGGGACCACACGCTCAAACGGGAGGGCAAACGGTGGATGCATCCTGGTGGCCTCTTTTACGCAAGCATCAAGATAAGTGAGAGCCTTGGATTCTTTCCAAGTCGCGTATCTAGAGAGTCGCCCAGCGGCGGCGGCATCGTCGATCTCCTTCTGAAGCTTTGCGAGCGACGCAGGGTTCTTGAGAAGATGGTAAATCAAGGCGCCAGATAGGATACTTGTCGTGTCTGCACCTGCCACGATGTTGGAATTGACCCAAGTGGGAAGGAACCTAATTCGCATTGCGTCAGTCTAAGTGCTGCGTCACCCAGTTCGAGGCTCAAGAAGCTATGTGTAGGCACGTACATAGCGGGAAGAGTATTGTCTTTGGCATTCTCAGCGATGAAGCTGGAGAGGAAGTCTTTTTGGCTGAGGTCGCCTTTGCCGCTTTCGATTAAACTCATACGCTCTCTAATTCTGGCGGCACCAAATTCGACCAGCGGGTTTCTTTTCGCGGAGACGGGAATCAAGGGGTTGTCTCTCCACAAGCAGTCAAGCCAAGGCATCTGCGTATTCTGTCATACGCATGACAATTAGCACAGTGTCCCAAAAGTATTATCTCATGGTTCGTAGGGTTTCACGTACCGCAGCAATCATGTTGAAATAGCGCCAGTTGTTCTCGATGACTCCTTCAACATCGCCACCCTTATCGAGACATCCTAATTCCTTGGAAAATGTGACTTCGCCAAGGACGTCGAACATAAAGTATTGAATCCATTGGAACAGGTTGACATCAACTTTCCTATCTAGAAATAGCTCGTCTAGTCGCGCAAACAGGTGTTGCACAGTAGACGTCACGACCGGCTCAAACTTCATCAGGCTTGTAAGCGAGTACAGATTGGCAACCGGACGCCGCATTCGCCGGTGTATATCCTCGTCGCGGGTAGCAAAGACGTCTGGGATCTTGCCACCCTTTATCCTCGGCATTATGGAGTCGTAGAAATCAGACTGTACCGAAAGTTAGCATTGCAATGAAATATAAAGACTTTGCGATACGTCGGATTATAATTCCAACGCTGCTCAAGTACCTTCTGGAATCTGGTCTTGAAGCCATAGATCTGTTCAATTGCCTCGGGCTTGGAGACCATAACGGCATTAGGACCAAATCGCACAACGGTGCCATATTTGCTGTGTAGATCGGTGTGTATCTCGTGAGCATTGCCAGTGGTGACCCACGATCGACGGACGAAGTTTGTGAGAGCTGCCGCAGGTGGTCCTGGGATGTGTCTTAACCGGATGTACGAACGCGCATTGTCTAGAACAAAGAAGAATATGCCTACGACCACCAGAATCCCAGTCAGACGGCAAGCTCTGTCATCGACTTGCTCAAAGAGCCCTTTTGCAGTCATTACGGTGGCGGTGATGGATTTGTGAATGAATGGCGGATGATCGCCAGCTTGTTATCCTCTTTACGCTCGCGACCTTCGATAGTAGTGGTCAATTTCAGCACGACGAAGACTTAAATGTGATACTTAGGTGCCAGGCCCAAATTTAATCACTCGGGTTCTTGGCCATGTCTACCCTGGCCGGCTCCTCGCGCAACTCGGGTCCGACTGGTCTAACCCGTCTGTGCCTGACTGTCTGACGAGAGACAAGCTGAGCCAGGGATCACCTTCCTGAACCCTGACACTCGAAGGAGAGATGGGCCGTTTCTCCCCAAGGCCAGGGGTATTGAGCAGAGAGTCTTTCCTCCCGGCATCGTCCTTCAATTGGGTTTGTTTCCTTTAGTGCATCTGAAATGAACTTGTAGCGTGATGCTCTCGCATGAAGATTCGGCAAAGAACATGCTAAGTTTCATTGAGAATTTGTGTTAATTTGACGCCAGAATCAAGCTGCTTTTCCGCTGTAGTTTTATTTGATATCTCTCCCAATTCTCTCAAGCAAAAACTTGTATCCCTCCATCACATAGCCCCAACGACTCCCATCAGGATCCCGGAAGAGATCAAACAGATGAGGCTGACCAGGGGCAAGAGTAAGCCCCGACTGAATACCCGCATCTCGCATCGCATCCACCGTGCGCTGCGCCTGCTGCCATGGAATTAAATCATCTCCAGTGCCGAAGACAACGTGCGTCGGTGACTTGTAGTTGCCCTTGACAATCTGGGCGTAAGGACTGGCGCGTACCACCTCATTCAATGAGGGCTGTTCAAGCTTATTAAATGCGGCTGCGGCATGCGATGGGACATCCGAACCCGACGGCAAGCCACGGAAGAGAACGGGTAATGTCTGCCCGTGCCAGTTCATGTGTAGCACGACGCGGCTGCGGGGATCCTTTGGTGCTATCCAGCCGGCTGCTGCCATCATCTTTGGAGGCACGTTGTATGCGGTGATGGGGGCAGGAGAGACTCCGTCAATGACATTGTAGGTCTCGTTTGCGAACCCACTCGAGTGGTCTGGGATATTGGGCTTCCGCCAGAACTCGTCCTCATAATCAGTCGGGCAGTAGAAGACAAGAATCGCGTCGGGAGCTGGGATGCCACGCGGTACGGAGGTCCAGGCTAGGGACATGGCCAGGGTGCCTCCAGTTGACCAGCCAACGACCACAGCTCTGTTGCGATCAAGAAGGCTGTTCGTGTTCGTTCGAGTCAGCTTCAAGTCTGGCAGCGTGTTTCTTGCCCAAGCATATGCGGTGGCAACATCAATAAGCGGCCCTTTGAGAATGGTTGTCTCTGGGCAAAGTCTGTAGTCCACGCTCACGGGCAAGACACCATTGTCCAAAAGAAGTTGAATTTGGCGAGGGCGCACGTCCTGGCGTGACAGCATTACATGCCCTCCACCATGGACTATCAAACCTGTAGCAGAGCGGCGTCAGCTACGGTGTCTATGTACAAATTGCGATATTCTTGATTTAAATCATACCCGTGACCCAATTCCTCTGCGCTGATGCCTGAGACGGTGAAGGATAGTGAATGTCTGCTCGGAGTGGGAGTTGCTTGTCTGTGTGCGCGAAGACGACTGTCTCAACGCCGCAAGCCTTCTCCTGAGGTATGCTGCGGTATGAAGATACATCCTGAACAGATTGCTTGAAGCCAGTGATTACTCTGCAGACCTCAGACTCGCGTTTGTGGCCGCCGGTCCACGAGACGTGTTGGAACCCGACTTGTCTCATTGTGTCGTCCCAGAACTCTGGGGTCGCGAGCACGTAGGGGCGGCCGTCGTCGTACAGCCACCACCCGTCAAGGAGACCGAACACCATGTCCAGCCAGTAGTTTCGCGTCGTAAGTTCAACGAGCGATACGAAACCATGAGGCCGCAACAGCTTGTTGATGTTGGTAAGAGAGTTGTGCAGGTTGGTCGTGGCATGGATACAGTTAGTGGCTAGCACAATGTCGTACTGCCCAAGATGCTCCGCCGCGGGCGGCTTCTCAATGTCGATAGTGCCATACTTCATGCACTCAAATCCGGCAAACTTACGCTTGGCCCCAGACACCAGCGCAGAGGAGATGTCGGTGAAGGTATACTCGATAGGTACCCCCTTCTCCACAAGTCTATCGACGACCCATCGTGTAGTTGCGCCTGTACCCGCTCCCAGTTCAACGATGCGATACTTCTTGTCAGGTCCAGGGGTGGAGTTGGATAACGCTTTCTCGAGGAAGGATGTGAGTAGCTGGGAGTTGATGATGAACATAGGAGCCGTCGCATACACGTCATCAAGCACGCTACGGTTCGCCTTGGTACCGAATAGGATCGATAGCGGATCCAACTTGCCACTCAGGATCGCAGCCATCTTTGACCCACAGATATTCAGGAGCGTGTGCTCTTTGGCATGTTGGGGGAACTCGGCTAGGATGTCTTTGAAGCGACTACTCGAGGGCGTGGTGTCGACGATCGTCTCCGAGCGGACGTACTGTCTGCCATCGTAGTCGACCAGCTTTCCGCGTCGCAGAGTTTCGTGGAAAACGCCGAGCATGCGGTCATGTCTGGGGATCACCGGGAGCTTGGGGATTTTTTCGCCGGGCCTCAGTGTATTGAGGTCAACGCCGAGGTTCGAGAAGGCCTCTACGACGTAGGCAAGAACCAAGTCCGCCTGCTTGCCGGCCACCTTCGTATAGAAGTCACTGAAGCCATACATGGCGGCAAACTTGTCAAAGTCACCTTTGATGCCCTCGAACTCCTGAGCTGCACTAGCTAGGACTGGGCTAGTCAGAGGCGATAGTAGCTGTTCTGACTTGAGTGGGATGTGGGTGTTGTCGATGATGATGCTAGAGTCGGTGCCGTCTGTCGAGTAGCCGGAGGATGGCGTTGGAGAAGACCTGGCCGTACTGGGTGCCCTCGTCCCTGCATTTTCAATAGGCCCGACGGCGCCGACGAGAATGTCGATGAGGTCTCCGAAGGTGCAGGTGTCCGTGAATGAGGATGCGTCAATGGAAACTCCGAACATCTCCTCCATGTCGCTCATAAGCTCCATGCAGAGAAGAGAATCCAGACCGCGATCGATGAGATTCGTCGAGCGATCGAAATCGGTGGCCGGGCACTCAAGATGGCTTCCTAGTAGTTCTGCCAGTCGTGGTATCAAATCGACGCGCTCGTCTTGCTCTTGGGAACGAGTTGGCTCTACCACTGATGCGGCTGGCGGTAGCTCCGAATTGAAGATGATGTTTTGAATCATCGGAGTCGTGGGTTGGGCGAAAGGAATAGCGACGAGGGGATCTTTTGAAGCCCGAGGGACATCTTGAAATCTCAGAGATGCCTGTTGAGCTCCATGGCCATCGAGATATGCGCAAAGAGCTGAGAATGTCTGCATGTCCTGAAGCTGGTCCTGCGGGATTGAGATCTTGAAAACCTCGTTGACTTCAGACACGATCTCTGTAGCCATGAGAGAGTCGATGCCCAACTCCTCAAGTGTGGTGTTGTCGTGAAATTGATCTGCTGGGACGTCTGTCATTTTGCTCAGCAAGTCACGCAGATCATCTGCTACACTCGGAGCTACAGCAAGGCGAACCGGCTGTGAAGATGGCAGTATGCTATTGACGGCAGCCGCGATACTCGGAAGAGAAATTGACGCTGGCGATGGAGCCTTCAATGGCGCTGCCTCGATTGTGGCGGGCTTGATAGTGGCAACCGAGTTCCGTTGCGTCGTTTTGGAGGATGCAGCTTCAGATTTATCTGATGGGTTCGCACGAGAGAGAATCTTGGCGAGGGATGCCATCCTCACCCTGCTAAACTTGGCCCCGAAAGCAACGAAAACGAGCCGTCCGGTGACTTTGTCTGTGACGAAGATGTCATTGCTACTCTCCCTGTCGCTCGTAGCGGTGGAAATAGCAAAGACATCCCAGCCAGGGCTGCTCCCATCGGCCTGTGCCTTGCCGAAATCAGGCGACAGTTGGACGCGATCGACATGTGTAGAGACAAGAACATCATCTGGCGGACAAGGGGCAAGGCAGTTGGCGTATAGGCCGGGAACCTGGAAGAAGTTATCGATGGCGACGGGTGTAGAGACGAGAGCCTGTGTGCAGGCAGGCTGTGGCTTGGGCAAGACGATGTCAGCCACGACGGTACCGTCGCTGTTGCCTGCGACTCTGCGTACGCCTTGGTAAATGTCGCCGTATTGAACCACCCTAGAGAATACCTTGTACACGAGCTTGCCTTGGACAGCTTCGCCGCCGGGCTGGCTAGCCATCTCGGTGAACATCTGGCCCTTGTCTTGGTTCTTTTGCATGCGTTGCAGGAGCTTGCTGGTCCGTTCCAGCTCAGTTGTGATGCTCGTGTCGTTCGATAGTACTATCTCGCACTTCCCGGTTGCGTGCGTAGTCGAGACCTGCGATGCTGGTAGAGCACTCTGTCTACCTGAACGCTCTTGTGAGATGAAGGCAAAGTCGAATTTGTAGCCTGCCTGATCCGATGGACTCAGAATAAGTTGGACGATTCTGTTCTGCCCCATTCCGAGGGGCGAGGGGATCTCCAAATCATCCACACGTGCGAAAGGGGTGCAAACGATGTTCTCAACGACCGCGAGCTGCTTAGCGGCCTGCATGACCAGCTCGATGTACATAGTAGCCGGGCAAAGTGCCTGATTCAGAACGGCATGGCCACTGACCAGTACCTTCCAACATTCAGAACGAGGATCGATGTTGAAAATCGCCTTTCTGGAGCCACGGGATGCCCCATCTTGGAAACCGGAGAGGGTGATGAGCACCGGCTTCGGCTCTTGCTCGACGATAAGAGACTCAGACGCTTCTGCCGGCACTTTAGACAGCTCAGACGAGATCCCTGCCTGAAGGTCGAAGTCCAGCCAGTGCCGCGTCTTCTCGAATTGGTAGGGGGGAAGATTCAGGCCTTGATAGCTTTGCTTGTGGATCTGGTGGAAAAGCCAGAATTGGACGTGGTGGCCGTGCTTCCAGAGATTGACGGTCGTGTCTGCTAATGAACTCATCGCATCATCCCGAGTCAAGTTAACGGGACAGAATAGGTGATCATCGCTGTTGCTGCTGGAAAGAGCGCGTTTAGCGATGCTGGTGACCGCCGAGTTAGACCCAGCTTCTAGCCATGTGCATGCGCCGAACCGGGCCTCAATACGTTTCACGGCAGCTTCGAAGTAGACGGGCGAGCGAGTGTGATCTGCGACTTGCTTGGCCGTGGCGCTGCACCACGTCTCTCCCATCGAGCAGGTCTCAAAGTAGACCTTAGGCTTGTTGAAAGATAATCCCTCGACGAGCTTCTCCAAGTCGGCAAGGATCGGGTCGCTGAATCTCGAGTGGAAGCCATGCGTTACGTTCAAGACCTTGGCTCTGCCCTTCGGACTTCTACGCAGGAATTCATCGTGGGCAGCATTGACTGCAGCAGAAGAACCCACGAGAACATGACTTGAGGGCCCGTTAAAGCAAGCTACCTCGAGGCGGAAGTCAGAAGAGACGTCTAGCCTCTGCACTGTTGAGATGAGCTTCTTTGTGGTCTCATAGTCGGCCTCGAGAGCAATCATAGAGCCCCTTTCCGAGCCCCATTTCTGGTGCATCAGAACGGCCCGCCCGTATACCAACCTGAGACCGTCCTCAAGCGACAAAATGCCAGCAATAACCATGGCAACGAGCTGACCGAAGGAATGGCCCAGAACGCAGTCAATCCGCAGGCCACAAGCGATCCACGACTGAGCGCAGGCATAGTGAAGGGCGAACTGCATCGTCTGAAGCGAAACCACGTCGTCCACCGGCTGGATTGCAAAGATGCGAGGATAGATCCCTGGGTGCCCAAAGCCCTGGACTATGTCGTTGCACTCGTCAAGATACTTGCGAAGCAGCGCCGAACTGTCATAGACGTGCTTGCTGAGACCCACAGAGCGGGAGGTCTGACCGCCGAAGATGAGGACCACTGGATTCGGCTTGGGGTTGGTCTGGCAGACAGGTGACTCGGGGTATGAAGCCACGATTTGAAGGTGATTCTCCAACTCTGAAAGGCTGGAGACGGTCGTCGCAAGCATGTTTGGTAGAGTCCGATTCTGTCTCTGGCTCAAGTTGGAAGCGAGATCAGCTAGTATCTCGACCTCTGAAGCCGAGCCCCTGCGGAGAAAGGAAATGTAGTCTCGCAGCTTGGCGGAGTTCTCGCCGAGGCTCTTGACGCCGTTGGCAGTGATGATGACGGGGAGTTTATCCAGACTTTTTGATGCGGTAGCCCGGTGACTCCCTCCCAGCTTCCTCTTCGAAGGCGGTTCTTTGACAAGCATGGCGGCGATGCTACCAGCTGCCCCGTAGTTGTTCACACAAGCGATGAGTGTGTCGGCAGTCCAAGGAATAGTTGCTGTCGGGATTGACATCCGCCCGGGAACCATGCTAATCTTAGGATGGGGAGATTGAAAATGTGCCTGTCTGGGAATAGCGCGATACTGCATCATCAAAAGAGTTTTGATGAGACCAGCAACTCCAGAGGCCCCTTCGGTATGGCCTATGTTTCCTTTGACGGACGCAAAATGGAGAGGGGTCTCTCTCTCCCCGCTGGCAAAGACCTCCTTGATGGCACCGAACTCGAGGGGATCGCCAACGGGCGTCCCCGTACCGTGGGCTTCCACGTAAGTAACGTCTTCGGCCTTGATATCAGCCGTCGTGAGAAGCTTCCGGTAAAGTTCCGTCTGCGACGGACTGTAAGGAACCGTGATGGGAACTTTGCTGCTGCTCTGCCTGACAGCAGTAGCGAGTATCGTGCCCAACACATTATCGCCGTCGGCAACCGCATCAGAAAGTCGCTTCAAAACGACAAGGCCGACTCCCTCGCCACGACAGTAGCCATCAGCGCTGGCGTCGAAGGACTTGCTCGCGCCAGTGGAGCTAAGAAACGAGGCGGCGGCCAGGTTCTGATAGAAGAACGGGCTCGTAAAAATGGAGACGCCGCCGGCGATGGCGCTCTTGCAGTCGCCGTGCAGAATTGCTTTGCAGGCGGCGTCGATGGCGACTGCTGATGATGAACAAGCCGTGTCCAGGGCAATTGAGGGCCCAGACAATCCGAAGAAGTGGCTGATTCTGCCGGGGACGAACGCCCTCAGAGTCCCCAGGGCAGAGAAGGCGTTGGCTGGATGGCTAGCTACATTGTCATTGTAGTCTGACGCGCATACGCCGATAAAACAGCCGACGTCCAAGTCGGGCTTGCGAGGACCGAAGAAACCGGCTGATTCAAGAGCTTGGTAGGATACCTCTAACAGGAGTCGCTGCTGAGGGTCTAAAGATGCTGCTTCGCGGCCTGACTTCTTGAAGAAACGGTGGTCGAAGCTAGCAATGTCGTCAAGGTAATTCCCGAAGTATACCGTCTTGTCCGTGTCGCGTTGGTGCTCGTGGGCAGGGAAGCGTCCGCTAGGTGGCTCGCTTAGCTTGGACTCTCCCGCGTCTAGCATGCGCCAGAAATCCTCAACTGAGTCGGCGCCAGGAAATTTGCACCCTACGCCAACAACGGCGATGGCGTTCGGTGGCATATCCTCCGTGGGGAAGTCTATGCCAAATGCAGACATTGTGTAGTATGGTCTAGAGTTCTCCTTGTTAAAAGGAGTTGAAGAAAGTTGAAGGAGTCGGTTGACGTTTGAGGAACTAAAACATCCTCAATGCGGGCATTAGCTCATGTCAAATAACACATTCTTCTTACCGCTACAAGTCTGCGAGTAAACCGTCGTCCACCAGTTTGAAGGTGCGATTGTGAGTCGCAAGGGTGCCGGGACCATGGAAGGAATCATCGAGGGCAGATTGAATGCACGAACTCGGGTCTCTCAGAATTGCCCCAACTCGGGTCCCGTGGCAATACAACATCCAAACAGCGAACACGTGTCTCATGGATTTTGGTTTCGCTCAGTTTTTTATCATGGCTAATGCTGGCAATGATTTGATCAAATTCAGATTGTTCGTCGGAGGTGTGATCTCAAGCACATCTACCGTGGAGTGTGATCTGCCTGTCTTTTCCTCGATGAATATATTGAATCTTGACGGCAGTATCTTTTGTGAAAGGTCTTGTGACACCTCTGTCACAGGGCTACATTTCTTTGCATCTGTACACAAAACAATAGGTTGCATGTTGGCCGTGGAGGCAATACAAAGTGATGCTTAGGTACTTGATGACTCGGCAATACGAATTAAGACTTTTGAAAGACGTTGTCCAGCCTATTGAAGATGACTGTCACAATGATGAAGACGGAAAGGAGTTTGGTTTGTCCCTAGACGTCAGTGGCTGATATCAAGGATGCCTCCACCGCCTTGAAAAAGTCCAGCTGAGAGTAAGCCGGTCCAGTCAAAAAGCATTTGGCCGAATTTGTAAGATTTGAAATAAGCAATGACACGTTAAGGTGAAAAGTCAAACCTCCAACGAGGCCAACATCAGTAGTTTTAGAGGTGGGTGCACACAGCGTAGACGCGAGAACGGCCACATCAGAGTCCTCCATCGTGGGAGTGATACTGACTTCAAGGGTGTTACTCCCCAACCGTCTTGCACCGAGATCTTGCAATTGTTTCTGAACACCCAGTGCCGTAAGAAACCCTGGTGGCAGGTTCTTGCCATGTACCGCATCAGCCTCATAGTCTGCTGCAAGCCCAAGTCCTAACTGTAGACCGTTTTGGTCCTGCCAGCCCCTCACGGCTTCCCTTGGGGGCATCCCTGCTGCAAGGCGTTTTCGGTTTATATCCGAGCTGAGTAGACAACGCACTTGACCCAGGTGTTCTTCTCTCGTACGGTACAGTAGTGTTGCACCAAATGTGTTGTGGAAGTCGTCGGGGGAGATGGGAAGGCAGTCGGCTAGTATTAGATATGCTTGTGATAGAGTCGCTTCTAGAAGTTGAAGACAAAAGGCCTGCGAAGAACGGTTCGAAGTTGTAGTTTGCACATATGGCAAGCCAATAGTCTCAACACCTCCGGTGTCATAAGCTGGAGCTGGTGTGAAGGCCGTGGGAGTAGCCCCAAATTTGCCGCCAATAATGCCTTTGGAAGGACTCGATCGTTCGGAGGCGAGGGAATCCTGGCTCGGTGGGCATTTTCGACTCGTAGAAGCCGATGTAGAGCAGGAAGGACTTTCATGAATATTTATAGGCTGGGTGAACTCAGGGCTTGGACTCGCATTATCATCGTCGTCGCTATCAATGACGGACTGCACCATCGTCTTCAGCTGCGTCGCTGAGTCTTGGAAGAGAGCAAGAAGTTCTTCCCGTTGCTTTAAGACACCCTTGTTGCCAATGACTTCGTCGAAGAGGTCAATGAAGAGCAAGGTCATGTTCTCTACGACACTCTCTAGCCTCTCAATTCGCTGCTTCTGTGCTACGTCTGCGGCTTGTCGTCGTTTTCGAAATACTTGTTGTGCCTCGCGGTTCCTTTCCCTCCGAATCTTAAACTCATCAGTCAGAGTCTTCAAGTTCAATGTGCTTGTAGATCCATAGGGCGGTATAATAGTACATGCAGAGATGTACAGGAGCATTGGGAACCAAGTTTCAGACAATAGGCTACACTAACCTTGCGCATATCATCGTCGTTGGCATCATCAGACGCTGGGGATTTTCGGCCGCGTCTCTTCGAGACTCTTGTGGCTCTCTGATTGCCCATGGCGATTTACTCCTGTAATTCCGCTGCGCTCAAGAACGTGGAGGTGGAATAGCCTAGTGTCTAGTATTGTGATTCGGCCGACTACGAGAAGGGTGCTGTTATTGTTCAGAATCACGGGCGGGAAATTCGGTGCTCCGTCATCTCTCTTTTGGGGACTTTCCGGATTTCATGACCCCTAACAGAATGGCCAAGATCAACAGCGCGTCTGGGTTAGGAATATGTGGGGGAAGCGTCATGACTCTGTGCCGAGGGTGTTGAGCGGGCCTGATTACTATTCACACGAACCTGAGCCGCCATAAAGGCAACATCTGCGCCCTACCGATTTTAGGGCGCGAATCTAAACCAGGAACTGTGGCATATTAATCAGGAATAATCAGTAATCTATGATTTTAACATTCCAACTTTTTGCACGTAGGCCACGCGCAAGGAATACATTTTTCCTGCGTTCGCAGCGTCATCGACATTTTGCTGCCCAAACAGCAAAATCCGGGTTTCGAAATCCATACCCATGTCATTGCTGTTTTCAGGCCGTGCTGAGAAGCTAATGAGGCGGCATAACATTGACTGAGAATAAGACTATGCTAGCACCCTGCCAATTTACTCATCCAACTTTGAAACGATTGTTGCGTTTCCCTTGCCGCCGCGACCATTTGCACCCGGGTTAAAGTACATGTCGATGGGCCCAAATCCCTTCAGGGGAATGTCAAGTACAGTCTGTTTTATTTCGAAATCTGTGATAGCGAGTTGTTAGACTCTTTCATTTTGAGTACCGACATAAGTAGGTATAGACTTACTCTGCAGACCGATAGCAGATATACGGGTGTTGTTCAAGGTGGGGTCTTCCGCACTAAAGGTAGTCAACTTCGTCTCCGGGTCATATATCCAAACTGAGTGACTAATCACTCCTGGAGTCTTGGAATGCTCGGCGTAGAGATCTCCACGTCGGTTACCTTGAGCGCCTGCTGCAAGGTTGATCTCGACATACCATGACCCGTAGTCGCAAGCCGTTGCAGCTACCACTTGAAGAACGACAGGAATAAAGAACAATATGCCTTTGGAAGAGACCATTATGAAGGGAAGTCGTAGGGCTTGGAGAGTTTTGCTGCTCAGGATTTCGTTTGTTGCTCGGGAGCAAGGTGTTCACAACGCTCTTGCACTTATTGAGTTAAGAGTCATTGCTTTGAAGCAACTCAGTGAAAATGGAAGAAAACAAAGTTTTTATACTCCATAATAGAGAGCATTAATGCTTCTTCAGAACCTGGGATACGATGTTACACTGCGTTTTTCAGCTGATGGATTGGTTCGTATTCCCGCTTGAAGGCACAGAACGCCTGCGTCAATAGCTTAACCAATCACCTTTGCATTGCAGCAACATGCGCCGCAGTGTAACCTCAAACCTGACGGTGGCAGAATTACATGCATCCAGATTAATGACAAACATTTGCTGCATACTTTATATCTTGTTTAGTGCCAATCCGCGAGGTGCTACTCGCGGCAAACGAAAACAGTGTTCTCGGAGCACTGTATTGGCTGACACGTACCATGCCAAGAATGTCTCACTGGGAATCTTAGTAGTATTGTGCGTATTATGTGAGACATTAGGCAGGTGAATAGGATTGAATGTAAGAACGCCCTAAACCTCAATACGAGACTCGGGTCTCGCCCGATTTGGGTCGCCCATTGGTGTCTGGTGACGAATGGTAATGCCTTGCGCCACATCAGGAAAAGAACATAGCATGGATGAATTGCTTGGTGAATCCAAAGTCCTGAATCTGAATGTTCGGAGACTTTGGTCAACCGTTACCCGAAACACCCTCGGGATAGGAACCATAGAAACCTTTAGTCATGATTGGTCGCCTCAACTTCACTGGAACATTAACGTATGTTGAAGAAGACGGAACCTTTGAGAAGCCAATAGTACACACATATTCTCCATCACTGGCCCCTTGCTGGAGATCATCTTCGAGCCCCTGTCTACCTCGGGTCTGGTTTTATGCACCCCATATCAATTTACTCCGCCCTGGATCTCCAACCGATGGACAGATTCTATGAGAGCATTCCTTTCTAAAAACGAATGTGAACGAAAAGATATACTTTTGCTCTTCCGCATTATTATTTTGAAGCTCAGAATCCGCTGCCCAACCCTTCTTTTTATCAGCCTCAAATCAAACGAAGATCAAGTCAATAATCAACGCCACGCCGCCCAGCCCAATACCGAAGAACAAAGCGTGCCGGTAGCCATCTACCAAGTCGGAGTTCTCAGAGGAAGTGTACTTCTCCATAGTTCCAGCAAATCCGAGACCCATGCTCTGACCGTAACTGATGATAGTGCCAATCAGGGAACCAGCTATCCCTTGGTGCTCTGGCTTTACAGAGTTGCTCGCAAGGATTTGAGCTGCTGAGAAGATGAAGTCCGGGCAAAACGTCATCAAGATGGTTGCCGGAACCAATTGAGGCCAGTAGGATTGCAGCTCTGGTATCGTCACCACAAGTATTGTTGAGACTATGACGCATAATACGCCAGTGACCAAGATGTGCCGAGCTAGCGTGCGTGGGATCAGCCAAGCTGAAAGGATAGCCGCCACTGCACCCAAGACGGTGAGCAGTATGAGTGCAGCCGATGACAGGAGGGACGTCCAATTCCGAATGGTGAGCAGCTACACGATCATGTACCACAACAAAACTCCAAAGGACATGAAGGAGAGAATTGACACCGTTATGAGGCTCAGGAATGATGGTGCGGTCAATATGTTGAATGGCAAGATTGGGTACTTGGCAAAGTTTTGTACCCTGAAGACGAAGGGGATCATGTGAATGACTGAGACGAGGAGAATTGAGTATTCGTACGGCTTAATCCAACCGACTGAGGGAGCTAGGCTGGAGACGACGTCAGTGAGAGTATGTAGCAGAAACAGTGAAAATGGCAAACTTACTTCCAAACAAAGTTGAAAAGAATCAGCCCGCCAACACCCAGGTAAGCACCCAGCCAATCAAAATTAGCCAAGCCCTCAGATGAAGGAGGGTCTGGCGGTGTAATGGAAGCAGTCGGTACAAATACGATAGGACCAAGTGTCGCCCTACATCTGTAATCATTGACGAAGTCGGTGAGAGGCATTTAAGGACGACTAAAGCCTACAACAAGAAGAGGGGCCACTTCTAGTCTGTGAGCTGAGAAAATACCACCAAATACACCTCCACCAGCAGCACCGATCGGTGACATAGCTCCAAAAATTCCCATAGCTATGTTACGCGTCCTCCCAGGTGGTATGTTGATTCCCAGGAGTGCAACTGCATTGGGTACCACAAATGCGCCTCTAGATCCAGCGAGACCGCGAGCGATAGACAGACCGACGATTTTTTGCATGAAGCCGCTAATAAGGTGCCATAACACCCACCATGCTTCTGCGCCCAGGAGTGTCCTTTTGTGGCCTAAGATAGATCCCAATCGGCCTCCAGCAAGAACAAATGCTCCTTGCGTAAGTCTGCGCCGTGAGTAAATGAATTTGGAATGCGACTTACGGATAGGAAGTGGTTATGTAAGTTGCTACGTCTCTGTGGATGCCAGATTCATTGGCGATGGGAATACTAGCAGAGATACCTGAGCCAAAAGTATCATCTGGCGTTGTATGAATTCAGCGGCGGCATGATGTTGGTGAACATGGCCCTGGTAAGTCTTGCTTATTTGTACAAGCTGTATCAGGGCCATTGCAATTATGAGCCCGGGCTTTCTTGACGGGCTAAGCACGTCAGTTTGATTGGGATCCATGCAGTTCCGCGGGCTATGCATTCGAGTCATGGCCGTTGATCTGCGTTTCCCTTTCGAATTTATTTTGGAAATTCTGAGTCGGGTTTGTAGGAAAAGGATCGGCTACCCATTCATAGATTCATGGATAGGCTGATATAGTAAATCTCCTGGCTTTCGGTAGAGCGGTGATCTACGGTGTTCACGACGAGACGCCTGGCGTTGACGAAGCCTGCGTTATTACAAATATGACCGCTAATGACTACTCTGCATTTGCATGATTCTATCCAAGCAAAGCTCCGCGTTGACTCTAAGGCATGGTGGGTAAACAAGGTAAAGTCACATTTACGATTACGCATCAGTGACGTTGTGCACTAAACAACGCACATGGAGAAAGTCGTTTCACCGCCCAAGATCACGTAATTTTCCCGACTGAATAGTCAGCGCCCATCGAGGACACATTGCACTGGGTCACCTGCTGAATCCGCTCTAGTAGTGTTGAGTTGTGACATGTGAAGACCGGTCGATATAATCTTTTTATCTTTCGAAGTTTCTGTCGCAATGAACATTTCTATTTTATTAATGCTCGAATGTACGAGCGACAGACCAATTCAACATACTCTTAGCCGGGGCTAGTAAAGACGTCGGTTTCGGCAAGCTCAAGCTCAACACGATCTGACTTCATTCTCAATGAAGGCGTACGGATAAATTTCTATGGATTTGTTAAGGACCCTTGATGGTCCTTCTTCACGGCTTTCCCGACAACTCGAGGACTTGGACTCATTAGGTGGCCGAATTCTCAAAGACACACACAATCGTATGCCCTACCTTCCGCGGCTACCCATCCAACAACATCACCACCGTCGAGCAAACTACCTACCATCTGTCAACCGTGGTTGTAAACATTTTGGCTATCTTTGACTATTTCAACACTACCAAGGCAATCGTCGGCGGCCATGACTCCGGCGGCGCAGCTATCCAACTGTTGGCACTTCTCCACCCCGAGCGCGTCTCCGGACTCATCATCATGACCTCACCCATCTGCCTCTCTTTACGAGCTGATTCATCTCGACAAGGGGCAGCAAGAGTAGTCTGCCTATACTATCCATCACATTCAATATTGAAAAGGGAACGACAGAAACCTGGCCGTCGTGCTTGATGGCATCAAGGACGACGAGCATAGCCACGGCATGTATGATTATCTGTCCGAGTCGCCAATGGAAGGCACCTACGCCTGCTATAGAAACAAATACCCAGGTTCCCCTTATGGCCAGCATGTTGATACTTCCGGTAAAAGGAATAAGGTGCCCACGCTCATTACCTGGGGTCTTGTAGATCCATACTTTTACTAAAGATGTTGGATGGAATTCCGAAGTATTCTGAGAATACTGTTCGTCTTGTCACGTCGCCAGGAGCAGGTCATTAGTTGTGCCGGAAACAGCCCGATAGGATCAACTAAGAAATTCGGTCTTGGCTACAAGTTCTTGGCAAACATAATCGAGCAAGATACCTCGGCGCTGAGCCACATTCAGGAGAAGAGCTAGTCACAAATGGAATTATGACTTGTATCCGTCCTTGCTATTGTCATTGAATCGGACCAATACCTCAGACTCCTCAGTGTGAAAGGTTCCGGGCTACTTCGACTTTCAAGGAGAAACCGGGGTTGAGGCATTATGATAAAGCCTGCAAAATCTTTTTGCATCACTGCGGAGAAGCGGCAGAAACGAGGCCATTCAGACTCAAGTACCTCGGTGATCAAGTCTGAAGGCGAGGGATCTCATTTCCCAACGTGTGAAGCATCTTTCAGTCCAATCTTCAGATTTGCAGGTGTTTCGTATTGAATCGGGAATTTAATGAATTACTACCTCACACAGTGAGTATTTTCAAGTGCTTGCGGCAATATTTAGAAGACCAGGAGGTGGCGACCTGAACCCTTAGCTGGCTAGACCTAAGGTATGCTTTTCCGAAGCCACCAACCGCTCGAAAAGCACCTTCGCCCTCGCTGGATGGCGTGGTGTGGCTCGGGTACGAGCCCATATCGGTGCATTAGCGGTTCCAAATGCTCGGAATTGACGTGTCTCTTGTGGTGGTTGTGTATTCGCGGGTACTCGAGGACAAGGCGGAATCGTTGGTGGATTATATTGGACTGGACGGGCACCAATCTCAGAGCAACTGAGAGCTGTCACTGAAGTTACGTTGGGCCAGATACTCAGCCAAGGTTTCAGAACACTCGCGCACTAATTCAGATGTATTTTCTTGGCAGGCATGTCTATACCTGCTCGGCCTCGATAGCGTGTACTCATATTCTATTCTAAGAGCCTTTGCGAAGTATGTGAGAGCTTGCTGGAAGTCAAAGTTCTATGCTACAGAGGCGTAGAAATCTTGCGGAACTGTGATCATGCGGGGTTGCATGCTGGATCTCTGTGCGCTGCAACCTCGTCGAAATGGTTGGTAAACAGGGGTCACACGATACCCCCTGGAGAGTTCTCCATGCAAGGCCGCTCCCAATGGGGCGAGTTGGAAGCCAATACCCAAAGCATTCCTTCATGTTGAGAGATCCGGGGTCGTCTGCAGTAACGCGGAAATGGACACGGTTGACAAGAAAACACGGGAGCCGCAGTGGACTGAGGCGGCTATTGTCACTCCAGCACTCACCCAGTATCGTTATGTTGAATGCAGGAAATTGAGGGGTCAGTGCTCGCGGGTCAGCAGTCTACATGTTGATTCCAAGTAAAGCTATTCCGAACGCATGGCAAGCTGCGGGGACACAGATGACTGAGACTCTGGACGAACACCTTCGTCAGGGTCCTAGAGGGGTGCGTTCCCATTCGTTCCCGGAACTCAACGGCTGCGGCATTGTGGGGTTTTCCGATGGATCCAGAGTGATTGAGAGAAACCTCATCTGCTGATTGCCCTGTTGCTCTTGTGGAGCTGATAGTTGGTGACCAACATCTTCCCACACGACGGAGTTGATGTTTGTGAAACGTTTCCGTACCTAAAGGGGCTTTTCCGTGCAAGCCTTTTCCGCGATGACCTTGGCATGTTGGCAGAGGCGCATGGGGGCGCTATGGAAAACATGTGTCTCGACGCCATCAACGCCAAGCTCTTGTGAGTTGGGTGGCAGGGACCGACAGGGGACCACCATGGCGGGCGCGTTATCGCGCGCGGGATGCGGTGAGTACCGACCTCCAACCGTAGGAACCTGGTATTCGCGATAACTCTTAAGGAAGCCTTAATCATTGCCTAACTTCCTAGCAGGCAGGCATTTCTTTGATAGCGTCGAAGGAGTAGTACTGCGGACAACAGCTTGAGATCTAGCGACAACGACATGGTTGTGAAGGAGAGAGGCATCCCGGGTCGTAAGAATGAACTTTGGTTTTCGACCTTGGCTCTACGGGAGCCCAGAAGCCTGAGAGGCAGGCCAAGGTGCTAATCAATTTTAGTCCCCGTCCGCCGAGACTTGAAAGGGGCGCCTCCAGACTAAATATGCGAGTTCTGGTTCGGATTGTGAACAGCTCTTCCCAAAGTCTTGGCCTGCTTCCCCTTCCCCCGCACTCCGCACTTCGCACTTCGCGGAAAAGCCGTCGTACGGTCGTACCCCATTTACCCCATGGGGGATGCAAGTTGTTTCTCCACCGATTATGCTCATCTGCCTCCGCGCTTATTGACCCGAGAAGATGGCTGCGAACGTCTTGCCGGCCGAACGAAGGTTGTGATTGCGAGGTAGGATTTGAGGGTATATATCTGAGCTTCCTCGAACCTTGATCCAACCTTGAGTCTTCAGCCCACGGACTCAGAGGACGACCACCCTTCACTTCCAGACATTGAAGAAGGTTCGCCGGCTGGAAATCTGTTCAACCTATTATTTCTTTGATTGCCCATCACTGCTCCTTAGGCGATTATTCGTTTTCCCGGCGAGTGCGGCTACGCTTACAACATACAAGACAGAAATGGCGCATAACGAGAGGCCTGTCTCTCCACAAGAGAAGGTTGCCGTCAACCAGATGGAGCATGTCTTGACTACCGACGACCCCGCTCTCATGAAGCAGCCCGTTATTGAGAAGGTCGATGAGTTCGGTGCACACACTAAGACAGACCCGAAGGAGATTGCCTTGGTGAAGAAGATCGACTGGTACATCCTGGTAAGTCAAAAGAATCACGATTCTTCCCAGAACGACATGAAGCTGACCGAAAATGAAACAGCCCATCCTCTGGTTGATGTACTTCCTCAATTTCCTCGACCGAAATGCGATGATTAACGGCAAACTCAATCACTTGGACAAGGACCTCAAACTCAAAGGCACACAATACAACACATGTGTCTCCATCCTATTCGTCGGATACCTTTGCGGACAAGTTCCTTCCAACATGATCCTCAACCGAGTTCGCCCTTCATATTACATGGCTGGTAAGATGGCCCATAGACAGCGAGCGAAACAAGTACTTACTGTGGTCACCTCAAGGTTTCATGATGGCCTGGTCCATTGTTAGTCTATTGACCTACAAGTGCCACGACTTCGGAACGATGCTGGGCTGTCGCTTCCTGCTTGGAATTACCGAGGCTCCGGTAAGAACTTAGTTCAACCCTCGAAATCGAGTTTTCCCTGACATCAGATGATAGTTCTACCCCGGTGCGCTTTACATGCTTAGCATGTTCTACACCAGGAAGGAGATCTCAACCCGCATGGCTATCTTTTATACCGGCAACATGGCCGCTAGCGCTTTCTCTGGGCTCATTGCAGCTCCCATTTTCTCGGGAATGCAAGGCGTTAAGGGTCTCTCTGGATGGCAATGGTAAGTCTCCTAATGGGCATCCCTGGCTATTTTCGCCCCAAAGCTTTTCGAAATGTAGTTCTCTGATCGCGTCCAATGCAGGCTCTTCATCATCCAAGGAGCCGTCTCCATCCTTGTCGCCATTCTTGCCTTCTTCCTCTTGCCTGATAGCCCCCTTAAGACCCGCTGGTTGACAGAAGAGGAGCGCCAGCTGGCTCACACCCGAATCTACAACGATACCACCGACCGTCGCGAGGGCACCAGTGTCTGGACGGGTCTTCGGGAGGCCTGCACCGATTGGCGAACATGGGTCTTCTGTCTCATGGATAACCTCCATCTCTCAGCGAACGGATTCAAGAACTTTTTGCCCGTATGTGCCTCCTTCCTTCACAGAATCTAATGCTTTTCACGGAACCCTAGACTGACTTTCGTCATGCAGACTGTTGTCTCGACACTCGGTTACAACACCACCGTCAGTCTCGTGCTGACCTGCCCGCCCTACGTCTTCTCCGCCTTCTTCTCCGTTCTGGTCCCTTGGTCATCTGGAAAGTACAACGAGCGAACGTGGCACATTACCATTAGCAAGCTTATTTTTTGCATCGGTTTCGTCATGGGAGTTTCGTCTCTTAACATGGGAGTTCGTTACACCGGTAAGAAGCCTCGAGCACTTCTCTATCTCACACTTGCTCAGTAATTGAATGCTAACGTTGAGCAACAGGTATCATGCTATTTGTTGGAGCTACATATGGCGTAAGTGGAAACAACTTCAGTCCTTTCCGCACAGTGTACTAAATACTTGACAGGTGAACAACTTGATTCTCGGCTGGACCTCGTCAGTTCTCGGTCAAACCGACGAAAAGAAGGCAGTTGCCATCGCCATGGCCAATACTCTTGGAAACGCAGCCAGCATCTACACCCCCTATCTCTGGCCCGACTCTGACAAGCCTCGATTCTTGACTGCCATGCTTGCTAGCATTGGATTCTCTATCGGAGTTGTTATCTGCGCCTGGGGCATGAGGTTTGCGTTGATGCGCACTAACCGCAAGAAGAGAGAGGCCGACCCCAATGCCTCCAACTTCTATGTCTACTGAGTGTAGAAATAGAGTATTGCGGACCGTGGGAGAGAGGATCTTGGAAGGCATCAGGTCTGAAGTACTGAAGTAAGGTACTGCGGGAAGTTGAAATCACCTTATTTGAGCGACTAGGAGATGTGTAAAATTTAATAATTACAATGTCTCATCCAGTCGTATTGAAACTTGACTACTTGACTTCCGAATGTGCACCTTTGAACTACCAATGCTGCAAATACAACACATTGGAGCCACAGTGAGTGATCAAAGCTCAGGAAGAGGGTGTCGTAGTTCCCAACGCTCCCAAGGTGATCGTTGAACACGGCGCATCGTACGTGCTTGGCTTGACGAACTGAGGCTCAGGGTCATTGTCAACTGCCAGAAGAACCAGTGATTCCTCGTTCGGGTCGAATTTCGGCCACCCGAGGACTGAACTCAAACCATCGACTGGATCATTGGCGAAAGTTGCCCAAGCGCTCTGCATAAGTGCGGTCGTCTTCCTCTGGGCATCTGACGGCTGGATCCCACTCACGTCCCCAGACGCGCCGAATATCATGTGCAGATCGACACCGTGATATGCCCCACTTGTCGGAAAGAGTCGTGTGTTATCCCAATCTCCAAAGTAGCGGTATACCCACGCCGGAACTTTACAATCCAAACGTGCCTGGCCTTGGTGTGAGTTTGGACAAGTGAAGGATTCCAGTAGAAATGATTCAACTTGTGCCGGAGTCGGGACAACGCTATTGCCATATGCTGGAATTCTGTAGTAACCATCTTCATTGTTGTTGTTTCCAAAGAGAATTGGCTACAACTTGATGATTAGATACCTCTCTAGGAGATCAGTGGTAAAGACAGGATGCTGGACACTCACCAGTTTGGCAAATTTGCCAGATTTTGTCAAGAACATATAGTCAGGAAAGACAGTCTTGTTGTCTACCGAAGGGTAGAATGGTGGAATACCTCGAAGAACACTGCTAGAAGACGCCGGCCTGATAGCAGCGGCAGCAGCTTTGATGTCCTCCCATTTCCGACTTCGCATGCATCCCATAGAGTCGGTGGTATTAGTACAGTTCACAGCCGCCACTACAGTATTCCAATTCCGCGCAGTTACATTTGGGCTGTTGAGCGGAAAGCTAAATGCATTCCCAGACGGTGCGATGAGACCGTTGATGATGGGATCTTTGATGTAAGCGTATGACCAGTAGTCCACAGCTACACCACCGGAGGATTGGCCCGCGATGGTGATCTTTGCCGGGTCTCCTCCGAAGCCGGCAATGTTGTCGCGGACCCATTCCACGGCCGTACGTTGGTCCATCAAGCCAAGGTTCTGAGGCTGACCCGGGGCCCCGGGGAACCCGAAGACGTTGATACGATAGTTGACTGTGACTATGACAACGTCCTGAGCATCCGCGAAGTACTTTCCATTGTAGAAAGGGCTGTTCGTGTTGCCAATGGCAAAGCCTAACAAATCTCGTTAGTGAATTGCCTGACTCAGAGTATTGCAGATTCTGGTCACTTACGCCCACCGTAGAAGAAGACAATGACTGGTTTGGCGGCTGTCAGAGCATTGCCTGTAGGCTTTGTCCAGACGTTCAACGTCAAGCAGTCCTCACTTTGAGGCGTCCCAGCAGCAGAAGCAAAGTATCCAATGATGCGTTGCGCTTGAGGAGTCATGTCCGGGTAATCGACTTGGCGAGAGGGCGAAAGTGGGCAGTCGAAGCCGAAATTAGATGCCTCATACGACCCGTTCCCTGCGAACCTCTGCGGTGGAGCAAACCGCAAGTCGCCGACTGGAGGCTTTCCATAGGGAATGCCGAGAAACTCGAGAACATCGGAGCTGTTTGACGCCGGGTGGCCTGTAATCGGTCCATTCGAGGTCGGCACCGTGTGCAGGTCTCTGGCATTCCATCTGACGGTTGACAATCCAGTCGCGTAACTGTCGCTCAATGCCAGGATGGCCAAGCACTTTACCGCCAACAGAGAATGCATTTTCGTGGAATGCTAGAGAGAGAAGCACTTGTCAGAACACGATATGAATCGAGGCATCATCATCTTCTTGTCTTTTTGCTGACGGATCTGCGTCTCGCTTACTGAAGTTTTCTACCCCTGTATCTTCCATAGATGGCGGCCGCTGGCGGTCCTCCGCAGGCTAATGCAGCTTCACCATGCCGTTTGTCCATGCCGCTAATCTTACCACGGAAGCCATCCCCGTAGCTAGCTTAATCGCGCCGATCGTGTTCAACGGTGTTACCCACCGAAAAGCACGAGCTCACGGTGTCATTGGCCGCGTTGCAGCGGCCAAAGGCAAGGCTCCAATACCTATGAGAGAAGGTTGCCAATATCTTTAGGTCTCAGAGTGAGTCTGTTGTTGAGAACATATGCTGAGCTGGCACCAATGCAAACGTTGGAAAATACTTCCAGGATACTCTCGGTCTCAATGAGAACCATTGTTGAAAGTTAGACCTTACGGTTGTTCGCATCGAAAGAAACCCATCGATCATGTCCGACAAAGATACGACGACCTTGCTTCTGAAATATCCTCACTTCAGCTAAAAGAAGTGGAAGATTAGTTCTGGCATACTTATATGTTATTTATCATTCTGAGTCCAATTTCGGTGGGATGTAAGGACACATCCCCTTCTCAGGCTTTCTTAAGTAATTCCAACAGCCTGGACCGAGATCACGCCTTGAGTCCCATCTGACTAGTGTCGTAGCCATTGGCTTCAAGATACTTCTTGAAACGAACATCTTCATCTTCCAGATGCTTGGGAGCCTGGCCAAAAGTCAGAAAGGGCTGCTGAAAGGTATGAAATCGAGAATCAAAGAGGAACTTACGTCTGGGATCAGGAACCACACACATAGAGTACCGACGACCGAAATGCCACTCCCAATGAGGAATATTGCCTGCTGTCCCTTCAGCTTCTCATCAAAGCTTGCAAGCGCTGCACTAAGCGCAGTCGTGCCGATAGCAGCGCCTGCCTTGCCCACAGCAGCCGCGAAGCCCAGAAAGTGGCCTCTGAGCGGCGTGGGAAAGGACTCGCTCGATACTAGGAAATTGCAATCTCCAGGACCGACGGACAGGAAAGTCTGAAACAGGCCGTAGAGGGTGACGAAAAGCGGGAAGATATTATTGAGTTGAATCATGCTGCCACCGATGGCGAAGCCCAAAACGCAGACAATGGACCACCCGAGGGCGTAAGTTTGGCGACGGCCGATGCGGTCCATCAGCATCGCGCCGATGAAGGCGCCTGGAAGGGCAAAGGCATTGATAAGGGCGGACCAGCCAATTGACTGGATCATTGTCTGCTGAGAAGAGAAGCCTGATACCAGCGTTGGTGCAAGTAGGTTAAAGGGGTACACGACGGCGTCGTAAAGAAACCATGCGCTGCAGCATCCGAGGAGTGGCTTCCAGTAGAACTTGATAGCGAGACGATACGGTATGTTGCGCTGAATGGCGTGTTTCTGGTACTGCTGTGAATCGACGAGTCGTAGCCGGAAGAAGAATATAGCCAACGGAAGCTGGTTGATTGTTAGTCCATGTCGTACCTGTATCTCAGGTTGGTATGATTTGACTGACAAAGATCCCGATTCCGAAGCATATGCGCCAGATGCCATCACTGGCCTGGCCATTGTAAGCCGCGATGACGATCAAAGAGACGATACTGGATCCGACAAAGCCAGAGATGATAGCAGCGTTCGTGGAGACGGCGACAAGCATTCCGCGTTTCCTTCGCATGGCCTCTGTGCTGTCGGCACACTCCAGAGCCTGCGAGGTGCAGACTGTGTACTCTCCTCCTACATCGCTGTTAGTCTTCAAGCTATCGATATGGCTGGCACAGGCAGCTTACCAGCACCGACACCCGCAACACCGCGGCCTATGACCATCATCCAAAACATGCCCTCGATAGAGGCTCCATGGGCAGCAGTGGCAATCACGATACCCTGAGTGGCTATCAGTAAACGCTTTCGGCCCCATTGGCAGTGGTCGCTTGTCAGGTGAAAAATTACCAAAACCAAGAAGAGAGTAGTCAGAATAATTCCAACTCGCCGGCCAAATTTGTCAATGCATAGACCAAAGATGAGCATGCCAAAAATGTCGCCAATGAGAATGGAGTTGGAAAGCCTAGTCTTCACTGCGTTCGTCATCTGTGTCGGATAACTGTTGAAATTTGTCAGTGGAACATATTTTCCAACAGCATTGCTAGCGCTCACGTGGCAGACTCACAGCTTAGCCAGAACAGTGTTCATGTATCCGATGATCTGGATGTTGTATCCATCTGAAAACAATGCCACACCCTGAACCAGCACGTCGAGCTTCCCAGCGGTTCTGGCTGGAGAAGTAGGCTCCTGAGATAACGAACCATCACTTTGAGAAGACACTATGACTCCTATATCCTTATTGGTGGCATCGTCAATAGTGTCAAATACTGAGTCTGGCGAAGACTCCATGATGGATGAGTGTGAGTTCAATAATGATTTGGAAATGTACTGTTACAAAAGCCCCCCCTGGATTGTGGACCGCCTGTCTATAAGTACTGCGGATGTCTGGTGTAAGTTCGTTACGAGTGCGTCGCAAGCTCCCACGTGGAATCCTTGTTTTCGACCAAGTTCTTTGGACGCATATGGGTCCAGAAGCCACACACTCGAAGGATCAAACTGTTGCGGTTTTCCATTCAGACTCATCCTCGCCCAAGCGCATTTTACCGAACTATCGGCATTTACAGGAAACACAATAGTTCTCTCAACCATTCGATGCGCCATGCCAACCACGTGCACTGAATTGAACACCACAGTAGAAGTCATTTCCAAGGCGTCACGGCAAAAACGCCCGGAAGATGCCCGAAATGTGGCAATCAGCGGGTGCTCTCTGAAAAAACGAGTCGCAGTTGCCGTATTCCAGTCAAGACAACAACTGTATGTTGCCGACGCCGTAGGAACAAGCTTTGATTAGCCCATGAAGTTTGTGCTCGGAGCTTGGCCGTCAACGTTTCTTAACGGTAGATTTCCGCCTTCGGAGGAAGAAAACTGGTCATCCCATGGGCCTCCGATGCCCACGTGCTGGAATGCGATCGTCTAAGACGTCCATCGGAGTGGGGCCCCGTTCCCGTGGTCCACCGACAAGCTCCCGGACGCCACTCTTGTCTTCCGGGCAGTGATAAGGGACTCTTTCCGAGTGAGAAGATGCACTTGTCTCGGGATCACGGCTTGAGGGATCCATCTTGCGATCGAATCATCCGACCAAGAGTAATACCTGTGGCATAGCACGTGTTTAGACAACTGGAAGAATGATTGCATCTTGATGAGGAAAGCGTTCATCCCTCAAGCCCGCTTTGGATCCTTACCATGACCGTGGTCCCGGGTCCATCACATAGCAGCAGGGTTGAGTGGAAAGTTTATCTTTGAACGAGCTTTCTTGGACGGTCTTTCTTGCCTGTGCTTGGAGTCGATCTAAACTCGGTGTATGGTCTCATGAGTTCTGAGAGGCACCGAAGATATCGAACTCATCACGACCACCTAGCAAACTCACCATTGCCACATCGCGAAGACATCAGAATGGTTCTCGGTGGCGTTTTAGAGGCCATTTTGGCAGTAGCAACTCTCAGTCTTAGGTTGATGACAATCTTATTCACAAGATTCGTGAGTTCCATCACGTCCCATGATTCTTTCATCAAGCGGTTGATGAGCTTTACTCTGACGATCAAGCAGCATCCCCTCGGGAGAAGATACCTAAGTCGCATCTATGGGAGTTGTGCGTTATACACAATTGCTTTACTCATCAGATGCCTATTGCCCAATTCGAGACGGGCTACGAGGAGACATCACTCATGGCTGCTCCTGCTCTTGGGCTGGGTTGATCGTTCATCACCCGTTGCATCTTCGGTTACGGTTCTGCTCAATATCCTGTCACTAGGATCCGTTTGGGACTTCATCTACAGAGGAAGCCTACTCCACCAGAGCCACGATCTCTCTTTCTCTCGGCTGGGCTATGTGGATGAAAGCACGGCGCGGATCGTGATAAGAGCGCCAGCTCTCTCAACAATTTACGTCAATATCAGTTGGGCTCCTTCCAATGAAGATAGCCAGGCTACCATGTCGCAGACAATTTTGATCACTGACCTAAATGACCACACGGGAACATTTCTGCTCGACGGGCTTGAGCCAGACACGCCGTACACCTACACCACCAATGCCAGTCACGCCGGGTCCTTCAGGACCGCAGCCCTCTCGCCCAAGCGATGGAGTCTCATCTCAACCAGCTGCATCAAGCCCTTTTATCCCTACAGCCCTTTCGATCATGGCTTGCGCATCAAAGGGCTGGAGTACCTAGACCAGCATGTCTCAGCGAACCAGCCAGACATGATGCTCTTCCTAGGCGACTTCATCTACATCGACCTGCCCGTGGCCCTCGGCTGGTCACCAGAGCACTACACCACCTCGTACCGCCAAGTCTATGCCTCGCCCAGCTGGTCACCCGCGCTCCGATCCACGCCGTGGCTGCACGTCTACGACGACCACGAGATCATCAACGACTGGGCGTCGAATGAGACGGGTCTCTACCAATCCGCCATGAGGCCATATTGGTCTTATCAAGGGCACGCGAACCCCCCCTCGCAGTATGGCGTCGGTAAAACACACTACACCTTCCCCCGAGGCGACGTTTCGTTTTTCGTCCTAGACACGCGGCGCTATCGATCGGCTGAAAACATGGCCGACGGGCCTGCAAAGACGATGCTTGGCACGGCGCAGCTCGATGACTTGCGAGAGTGGCTTGAAACAGAAAAATCGTGGAAAGTTGTGGTTAGCAGCGTCCCATTCACGCGAAATTGGAGGGGTCCCGATTCGGCCGATAGCTGGTCGGGATATCTGTGGGAGAGAGACATGATCTTGGAGATGATGAGACAAACGGACGGAGTTATCATCTTGAGTGGGGTAAGCTGGTCTCCGTTTGATCGACTTTGCTAGAAATTTCAATAGTTTGCTTGAGCTAATTTTTTGCTTCTTTTTTGACCAGGACCGGCATGAGCACGCAACGACGATCTTTCCGCCCACCAGCGACAAGGGTGGTAAGTCTGTGATTGAATTTTCCACCTCGCCCTTGAACCAGTTCTATGAACCCTTCGATCGGTTCCATAGACAGATTGAGGACACGGACATTTCCGTGTACTCGCATCCGTGGGGAAATTCAAAGTTTGGTCGAGTGTCGTTTGACACGTCAGAGGAGGGCCGTTGGAGGGTAGACTATGAGCTTATCGTTGATGGGCATCAGGTGTGGAACTACACGTGGGAGTTCACCAGGTGATCGACTGCCTCATTACCGAGTCCGTGGGGTAAAAGGATCATCAAGATGTGCACGCAGAGAAGTAGGGGTTCATCTTGAAAAGTTTGCATTCATCGTGGCTTCAATCCGTTGAACCGGCGTTCCCCTTCTTGCCTTTGAATGTCATTGCCAACCCTGAGTCCTTCCGATCCCTAGGTCTTGCTCCCGTCCTCCAAATGTTTTCCGTCCCGATCAAAAAGAACCTTCCAAACGCCCACTTCCTGTCTCATTCTCCGCCCAAACTCCTCGTCGTTGTACCCTAGATCGCATGTCTGAAAGCATGCGTAGAATTGAAGTTGAAAGTGGTTCGTGGTGTCAGGCCCTCAGTATTGGGGGCCAGAGCCGCGGGGTAGAAAGTGAACCGTCTCGGACCCGTGTCCGATAGAAAACGGGGCGACGTTAATTGCTCGTGTAGTGTTTGTCTTTGGGAAAAGGCGCTGACTCTTTAGACGATAGGCTGCAGAACATCGCCCTCGGGGGCAATAGCAGGCTCGTCTCTCTCAATGTTGCCGTGAACGCCGGCTCTGGCGTTGAGGTTGTACTCGTGGCGAATGATGTTGTTCATCGGGGTGATGGCAGCCTGCGTAGCTCCGAAGAGGGCCGCGGCGATGATGTAAGCAATGGATGTCTTCATCTTGTGTGTGGAAAACGGCGTCGAGCTATTATCGGTCCTGTGTTTTCGTCAAAGGAATGGATGTGTCTGTTTGTCGAGGTCAACTCGAAGGCGAGGCAGGACAGCTCAACCGAACACTCTCGTCGATGTCGTAGGGACTGATGGACACGAACGCAGGAACACGAAACACTTTGCTGGTGGTGGGATGAGGGGTCTCCGAGGCTTATTAAAAAGGCCCGGCACGGCACGGCACACCAACAGCCACGGACTGATGTGACTGTGATGACTGTGTGAGTGTTCCTGTCTGTACTCTGTAAGATTGTGACAGTCTCAATCAATCATCAAACCTTGACTGTCTTGAAGTGGAGCCAATGAGCATGAGAGATTCGGATCTTCGGACGGTCATTGCAGGAAGGTGGGAGCGGGATCAGCTAGACTGACTCGCTTAAGGAAGCTCGCCATGCACAGAAAGATTTGCAATAGAGACATGGAAACAGCCCTACAGTAAATGTTTGCTTGGCTCACAGCTGTGCCTCTTGAGCCCTGTCTCCCTTCCTGTCATTAAAGATGTGCCTATCTCCCTCTGTAGACTACCGTGTTGCAACCCTGGGCTCTTTGCACGCTACACCAGGGATGGCGTGACTTTGCTTATTTAACTCAAGATTGGGCCTAACTGTTTCAAGTATACGCAGATACGCACGTCGCAGGAGCATGGATCGCCCGCTTGGCTCGGCCGATGTGACACAGTGTTGTAACCTATCTGTCCCCCCCTCCAAAATCACGGCATCGAGTTGGGTTGCATGAGAGGCCCTTGAAGAAACTACTTTACTTGGATCGCCCGAAGAATGACATCGATGTGTCCGGGTCTTCAGTCGTTCTCGTTCCTGATCTTCGCCGGGGAGACGCCGGACGGCCCACGGAGTCCCGAGTGTGAGCACGCCCGGCGGGCCTTTATTCCCGAAGTCAATTACGGATACTGAACATCAATCATCAATCTATCCATCCATCCTCCTGGCATCAGCTAGTAGATACTCGTACCAGAAGAAACAAACCTCGGTAGTTCTCCACGTTCTTGCTTCCGTACAACTCGCGACTGGTTGTAATCTGCTGCGTGGCCCAAGCTGGCAGACACATGTTTAATTGTGTCTCGGAGAAGCAAACATGGGCGATGGCCCGCACCTAGAACCCGCAACTCCGTCCCTACCCTCCCTCACGTCAAGTTCCAGAACATACCGACGCCGTCATCCGCCCTGCATCCATCTATCAGCCGCCACATTCGAATCGCACGAGCTCGTCCAGCCGCGCTCATCATTGGAGACCGAATATTACTGATCTTATCGGATGTCATCGTGTTCGTGATATCTGTAACTTGACGTGCCCAACATCGCTATCGCTATCGCTATCGTCACGCGATTGATACGCGAAGCTCGCTTGTTCGGCCTTTACAGCTTCCCTTCTGTTTCCTGAATCCTGTCAACAGAATTTTAGCCTTTGATTGTTGCTGAGTAGACCTGTCAGCCAGTGACTCGATTTCATGCCGAAGCCTTCTAGACATTATGCATAACTCGGAGTGAGCCAAATGCGGAAGTCTGCGAAATCTAGATCTTATACCGCCTTTACAACTGCCTTCCAGAATAGCCTTTAAACTTCAGTGTAGATAAAGAGCTTGCCTGATTGTCAATTTTTGCCGATGAAATATGCCCAGCAGACACTGGGGAGCTTGTGATCGATTGAAAATGGGACGATGGAGATTCATTTAATGATCTCAACCTCCGTGTAGTTCTCAATGGCTTCAGGTTTTAAAGCATAAAAATCAAATTCTCCATCGCATTGTATACCTCTTTCTTAGAACAACTGCCAATATGAGTAGCCAAAAGGGACAGAATGGCCAGGCCGACAACCAGTATCTGGCCATGGTAGGCGATGTCCAGGCCGAGCTGACGCGCTTACAAGTCCAGCATCATTGGATCCAGATGTGCCTCAAGGATAAGATCGTTTTCGCGCCGGTTGATACCAAGAAGGACGGCATCAAGATCCTCGACATGGGTTGCGCTGACGGTATTCCAACCTCCCTCTGCACTGTGAATTGGTCTTCTGATACGCGACATCACAGGAACACTGCTACGGGACCTGCAGAAGCAGGTTCCACCATCCGCGCACATGGTCGGCGCCGATGTTTCAACCATTTTCCTGCCCACGTCAGCTCAGGGCAACATCCACTACGTAACCCACGACGTTTGCGATCCACCGGCCGGGGATCTTAAGGGCCAGTTCGATCTGACCCACGTTCGCAACGTTCTCCACAGCGCCCACCGGTCCGGCGTTGAGCAGGCGGTGGCGAACCTGGCCAGTAAGTCGTGGGGTGTTCACTATTTTGGTTCGGGCTGCGGCCTGGTTAGTTACGCGCGTGCTCTAGTCTAACTGATGCAAGATACGTTGGTTCCGGGAGGCTGGCTGCAGGTTATGGAGCTGGACATTACTCCAAGCCAGCCAAACCAGCCCCAATCTCTCAAAGATCTCATTCACATCATTGGGTCCATGTTTGAAAAGCAAGGGATGGATCGCAACTACGCGTCCAAGATTCCAGAGGCTATGAAGATGGCCGGCCTACAGAACGTCAGGGTTGAGCGAGTTGAGTGTGGGATTGGTAAAGTTCATGGGGATGAGGCAGCTATCAAGTCTTCTATCGAGCCTTTCATGCACACGATCCCCCTTGTCACCAAGAACACCCAAAGTAAGTTGGCGAGACACAAGTTGTCATTGTCATATGTTTCACCTTACTGACCATGAACGCAGTGTTGGTCCCAGACATGGATCCGGCAATTTATACAAATTTGGAGGAGAGATACACAAAGGAGATGACTGAGCAGGGCGGCATTTTCCCAGCAAACGTCTTCTTTGCTCAAAAGCCCGTCGCGTGAGTTAGAGATGTATAGAAAGAGCTTCCTGGCTCGCTTGACCGATCTTCCTGCGTGACTTTGTCCTTGTTTGTGGCATTTACATACGTGGGTCATGATACAGACCAGGGTTGTCTTGGGGGTCCTCGTAGCATGATTGTAACATGAAGACATCGATGAGCTCTCGTGTCGTTTGTATTTTATGGTCAAAACCAGGACTAAAGATATTTCGTTGATTATTGCAATCGTGCAGGGTGTTTCCCATTCCATACATGAGTAAAATCTCTCAACTAAAGCATCTCCACGACATCCCCTCAGCAGATGCCACAAGTCCTATCCTAACTAGCATGACCATTTCATATCATCTCAAATTCTCAATCAATGTGCTCCCCCTCTCAGCAGGCCGTAGGAGGGGCAAACTCGTAGCAAGTCGAGCCACTGCAACACCAGGCCCAGCCATCACGGCAGACGGTATCGGCAGGCTGGCACCCCGCAGCTTGGCGAGCGCTAATGGCCTCAGGAGCGGCGAAGGCAACTGACGCCGCAGCAACAAGAACAGCAAGGCTGATCTTTACCATGTTGAAACTCGAGATACTGAGCTGTGAGTTGAAGATAGAGGGAAAAGTGGGTGATGGTCTGCAACGCTTACAATATTTGAAAAGTCAAGTCTTTGGAGAAAGGGTGGTAAGCGAAAGTCGAGGTCAGGTGTCACAAGTTCTCGCAAAAGAGATTTAGAGGCAGATGTTCGGTTGCAGGTTATATTCAAGCACATCAGCTGATGGAAGGACGACAAGGAGGACGTCCTCTGTGCTTACTTATAATGTAATACAATCTGAGCCTTAGTCTTGGTCTTACACGAAGCTTGTCTGATCAAGGAAGGTGCAATTGAAGGATCGCAGGATTATGCTTGGCACAACCACAACATGGTCGGCAACGTATAATATCCAGTCATTTCTCAATCCTGCAATCGTATCTGTTCTAGAGTACAAAATGCCAAGTCCGAATGGAATTGTTGTAGCTGTTACGGGAAGGACCTCGGACTGGTCTAGGCGGGTCAAGGTAATAGGTTACGTGGGTAATAAGTGTAGAATTTCCCGAGGACGTCAGCCCGAAGCCAACTGACATTCAATACAGCAACACTCTTGAGGAAGACTTAGAGATTAGAAGGATTCAAAATGATGTCAATCATTACTCGACTATATCGGTGAATCGCAATATTACGGGAGTATTCCCTTACTGACTTCATTTCAACATTCAGATCGACATCATTAGCATGGAGAAAGATGATCGAGAGAAGATAAATTGTCAAAAGGGTACAAAACCGCTTTATATGTCTTGATGTTTTCCCAAGGAATGATTCCTCAGTCTTGCTTAGGTTCCTTGACAATGTTTGCATGGTGACCCGTCTGCGTGTTCGCACCACTATTGGAGTGTTCTTTCCTCTCCTCCTATTGCTGCTCTGCCATCTGCTGCTTGGCCTCGGCTTTGCTGGAGGGCTCCTCTGTTCATCGTCAGTATCTGGGCTTGGCCGTTAAGCTGGAACATGACGTACTGAAGGTGTCGGCTTGAGGCTGACATTGAGGCATGTTTGGAAATGCGGGTTTCTTGGAGATGAACAGTGATGTCGAGAAGCTTAAATACCAGTATCTTACAACCAGAAGACAGCGTCATAATCTCATTCTGGTTCTTAATTTCAAACTCTCAGAACTACTGTGTCACATACGCAACCGGAAACTTCAACCCCGTTTCAATTCGACAACCTCATGATCTCATCTATATCTCCTCAACTCTTTGCAATAGCAGTAGTTTCGTGACCCGCATTGCGTGTATCGAGCTTCACTATCGCGGCACATGTGTGTCTACAGTGACGCCAACTAATGGGTCAACATGTGGGAATTGCGGGAGCAAACATCGCCCAGCAGTGCTCAAGTTGCCAATGATCACAGGTCGGGCGAGTTTCACCGACGAGATTGCGGGTCACGTCTTCATCGAACCGGAGAAAAGTCTCCTAAGCTCCAGCAAAGTTATAAGACATGCGAAAGCCGCATTAAGAATGATGCATGACTTCATTATGCACGATATTCAAGCATTACGAAGCTATGGTGTCACTCTTCCTGGAACTATTACGAAGAAGTACTTAACGCGCTGAACCGATGAGGAGGCTTATGCCCAAAGCTTATCGCTACTGCTCTTCTACGTATTTCCCACCGAGAACTACCTTGACTCGACAGCTACCGTGGTTGATACACCGCGAATATAGGATGAGCAGTCGGGACTGTCCGGTGCTAGAATACTAAATGGTCGGCCACCAGCAAGAGATCAGTTCATGGGTCTTTTCAATTGATTAGCCTAAGCTTTCTCAAGTCTAGGCATACAGGCGAATAATCCCGCGGAAGTCCATAGATGTGGCTTTCCGAGGAAACCTCGTCAAGTACGTCCGATTATACAAAGTAGATAGTGTTCTTTTCTATGCACGCTTGCTGATGCAGGTTTCCAGATGAGACTCTAATATAACGCCCCGGAAAAGTGTGATGTAAACGGTAACGAGAAGAAGAAGGAAAGAGAGATAAGATGAACGTCTGGCGGATGTGCCCTTATTATCTGTAATCCTCAATGATCATATCCAGCACCGCGCTGCCATGGACTGTGCGTGTTAAGTTAGCAAAGGTCGGGCAAAAAACATGTCGGAATTAAGGACAACTCACCTATTGTTGTTTTGGGATCGAAACTCATGGATACTGCGCGCAGATCCGTTCCCAAACGGACTCGGCGGCGGGAAATCGCTCGCCGGTGACCGCGGCGGGGCCGGACTTTGAGATCGTAATGAGCGGTCGGCGGGGAACATGGGTACCGACGGGCTCACGGCAGGCCTGGAGCCCGGCGAGGGTAGATATGACATTTCGTGGGTATCCCCACGGCTGTTGAGATTCGACGTGGACACGTGCAGGCTCATGCCACTCTCGGTGGCCTTCTCCTCGCCGTAGCGCAGCGACTCGCGGCGGTACGGGTTCACCTTGTCGTCTTCGTCGAGATCGAGGAGCGACTTGCCCTCGGTGCGGTCACCCTTTGCGAGGATGGAGGGATCGTTGAGCTGCGTAGGGCCCGTGCCGGTCGGTTGGCCCTTTACGCGCCAGAAGACGAGGACGCTGGAGATGAGGACCATGAGGAGGAGGACAAAGGCGAAGATGACGTTTACGACGAAGAGGACTACGCCGACGGCGCCGACGACGATGCCAGGGGTGTCGAAGACGTTTGTGAAGATGAGGAGGAAGACGGAGTTGATGAAGTTGATGGCGTAGATGGAGATGTTGAAGGAGTTTGTGCTCTTGTCCATGAAAGGCTTGAGGACGCTGACGGCGATCAGGGCGGCGGCTTCGATGACAATGAGGGCGATGGCCTGGGCGACGCCGGCCTTTTGACCGAACGCGATGACGGCAGACTTCAGGAAGATGTAGGCGATGAAGGGGATAATGAAGTAGTACGCAGAGGCGCGGTACTGGACATAGAGAAAGCCCCATTTGTTGATGATCTGAGGATTAGAGAAAAGAACGTGTGCGGGGTTCTGATGGGTGAGAATGGACTGCTTCGCGATCAGAATCACCTTCCACGAGGCCCAGATGAGCGTAAAGAGGGTGCCGAGGAAGAAGAAAACGGCCAGGACGACGAGGGCGGCCGAGTCGATCTGGGTGAATTCCCACAGGCACAGGACGGCGATTTGCGGGAACCCGATGAGGTTGAGGCGGAACAGGACGCCCTTGAGGGTGGTCTTCCAGTCGCGGCGGAACTCGACGAAGCGGTCCTTCTTAGACCATCCCTGCTTCACGGCGATTTCGGTACCGTATCGGAACGCTGCGATGATGAGAACGGTGAAGATTATGAAGAAGCAGTAGACGATGAGACCGGTGAGGAACAGGTTCGTCGATTCGATCTTTGCCCTGAAGGCTACGCGCTGGATGCCGTACACGATGTAGGAGCCGTTGTCCTGGAGGATGTTTGCACGCTTCGCAAGGGCGTTGAGGCCGCGCTTGACAGGGCCGATACTGTTGACGATTTCGAGAGAGCGTTTCGAGACCTGCACCGAGATGCCGCTCAATGAATCGAATAGTCGCGCCGCCTCGCCGCCCGTCGAGCGCTGGTACCATGTGCATAGCGTCTGCATCCAACCCAGTCTGACGACACCCATGGACCACTGAAAGTTCTGTGTCCAGGCCTGCACGATGGGCGGCATATCGACACCCGAGAGACCGACAAAAGCCTGGGCCTGGAAGTATCCGAACAGGGAGAGCGCGTTCGCTGCGAGATGTGCGGCGGCATCGGTGTGGCCCATGGCGGAGATGATGCCGGCAGACCCGAGACCGAGGCCGGCGATGACGGCGGTGGCCCATTTGACGCCTACTAGATCGACGGTCTTGCCGTTGGAAAAGTCTGCCTCGACGCAGGCGACGGTCGTGTTCGTATCGGTGAGGTTGACGATGGCGCGGATGGTGGCGTCGAGGTCGGGGATGGTGTAGGCGATGCCAGGCACCTGGTCGAGCTTGTCGCCGATTTCGAACGAGAACTCCATGTCGATCTTGCCGGGCTTCATAGGGCAGAGGCCTTGGAGGTCCATGGTGCACGGGTCTATCGTCATCTTGAGGTACTCGTAGCCGTAGATGCGCAGGGCGACGTCAAAGACGGCCTTGCCTTCGACCGAGACGACGGCGGCGATGTTTGCCATGACGGAGCCATTGTTGGCGGAGACGACGACATTGAATAGACTGGCAGAGAAGTCGGATTTCTTTTGGCAGTTGTTGAGGGACGAGGACTGGAGGATGCGGTCGGCGTATGCGGAGGAGGGGAGGAAAGCGGCGAGGAGGGTGTAGATGAGAAAAGGAGCGACTTGGGTGAGCTTCATGATTATTGCTTTAGTTTAGTAGTAACGAATGTGTGTTTGTTGAATGTATGTTGTTTCCCGTCAGAGATGTCTGGTCGCAGGCATCGTCAGCTTGCGATTGGAAGCACCCTACGATGACGACGTTTGAAGCTTCAAGCTTTCTTTCTCTTGTGTCCCCTTCGGTATGTGCGTGTGCGAGAGTGTGTCTCTACTCACGATGGTTGGACGCAGTGCAGAATCATCCGATGAGCTCAAAAAGGGTCCAATTAAGGTTCCACGGTTGTCCCCTGAAAGAGTGGAAGGGGGCAACTGGTGGGCAAGGGGGGAGAGGGGGGAAAGAAGAGACGAAGGGAGTGAGAGGATTCTTCCCCTTCGACGTCGAATTGCTCCTCGTTGTCTTTACTGGAAATCCGACGTCAATGGTTTAAAGGATAGACAGAAAACAGCGTTGCATGATCGAAAGAGACTCGGACGGGGGGGACAGGGCACACGGTCGCTCTTCTACGGATAGATTAAACGAGAGAGAGACCCGATAGATTGTCGACGAGAGTCAGAAAGGTACGAAAAAAAGGGTGGTTTGTTGCCAAGCTTCAATTTCCCGTTCGGTTTGTGCACATCCTCGATCCGTCAGTGACATTGCCGCTCCCTTATTCGTGTCCCCTCGTTGCACTTTGTACATAACCGGCATAGCTGGGGAGGCGAAGCAAGCTTGGATGTGGGCCTGAACAGTTCAAGCCAAGCTCGAGCTCTTGCTCGTACGGAAACAATCGACAGACCGAGACTCTGTAGCGGCAGCAGAGTGTCTTTCCCTAGAGTTCTGGTCCATGTTCCAGCGCCTCCAACGCCTTCTCCAACGGCGGCAAGAAAAGGAGAGTCAGTCCGAATCCAGGGGCTAGCTGGTAGTTAGTAGTTAGCACGTTAGTAGATAGTAGATAGTGGTAGTAGTACCATACCGTATCTATGGAGAGGAGAGGAGGCGAGAATGCAAAATCACTGGCCAGTGACAGCTTGGCGGCTCTTCCACCTGAAGATGATGTGAGATGGAATGCCCACGACGATCACACATCCAATCCCATCACATTCCAGCCGCCGTACCTGCGTATGGGATACGGGGCCTATGGGCCGCCGTGGCACCAAGAACGGCCCAAGCCGGCCGTTCCTGTCCAGCCAATGCCGGTACCTCTCTTCCCCCTTGTCAAGCTGAGGAGGGATGGCACGCTGGGAGGGGGGAGCAAACCATGAGTCCGTGACAACTTTGGCAGCCCTGACAGCTCTCTGGCAGCTCTAGCAGCGTTGGTCCGCGCCGTCCGCGCTCCAATGAAGGGTCGTTTTCGTTTCCTGCACTGCCCCAAAGGTGATATTCGGTTGCCTAAAGACTGGCATGATAGCCCACGACTGGGTGACTGATCCTCTCCTCGTCCTTCTTGTGCGCGAACCTGCGGCCCAGAGACGGAAGACCCCTCCTGTGAAACGAGACGAGACCCAGTTGAATCCACTACGAGTGCCCGGCTTGGACAAATCAGTCTTGGGTTGGGCGGCACGCACGGCGGCTATACGAGTATCTTCACTGCTTCCTCTGCCCTATTCCCTTTTATGTACTCACAGATTCACAGCGTGCTGTCAGAGGAAAAGAAGCTCAAGGGGTCTGAATCGGGCAGAATGTGCGACCCCGCTCCAAAGCATAACTCTATGCATAGCTCAGGGGTAGCCCCGTGAAAAAAAGAATGCACGGCTGCTATCTGCACAGTAATCAGCATCTAGCGATTCAATACTACTACCACACGGCAATGTCGAGCCGAGATTGGCTCCGGTCTTTGCCCAACCCGACGGCGAGGCCCATACGAGAAGGCCCGGATTGTGGGCAAAGCCATGGCGGTTCAAGGTTGTCTCTACGAAGTCTGCCCCAACTAACTGTACCGGTCGCTGTTAGTGTAGAATAGTGTAACCAACAGACTAGCACTAATGTTGCGATGTTGGTCAAGATCAATGCTAAATCTCAATTCGTCCGAAAAAATCCACCTGATACTGAGAATAGAGGTCCCTACCAGTATCGATACAATTGGCCAACCTGTCTCGCGATTTCACCTTGGTTTTCCATCGCTATATCTACATCACATCGCTTGTCTGTACAATGCGAAGAGGCATCCTAGGCCCACGTGATGTCTTAAACCCGCTTGGTCCCGGAACCGAAACTCGGTGATGGGCGCTGCTTTCGAATCGCAAATCGGACGAGACTCTCCAAAACTGATCCTGAGCAGAGATTTGATTCTGACATGGAAATACCTGAGTTTTCCTTGTTGCAATCTCATACAAGGGGCTGAGGCTGTGAACTTCACAGCCCCAAGAGGAGAGCGATTTTCTGGAGATGAGTAAAGTGCCACGACAATTGGCAGCTTGGCGAGACGTTGGCAGCAACTATAGGCCTCCTACGAATGATTGAGGAAATTCGCGGAAACGAGAAGTCTTGCTTTCCCCCCTCTTTCTCATTTCGTTGTTAACAAACGAAGAGGTCGGATATTAGAATTGTAGAGAATTCTATCAAAGCAATGATTCACATTAAATCTTGGCTGAGGTTGCTAGATCGCTATCTCCAAGCCGTGCTCATTGAAAGCATCATGCAGCCTCTCCTTACCGACCGTCACTACCCCAACGCGCACCAATACCCTCAAACATTAACATGGCACGAATGGTTTGGACAACCAAACCTTGGTCACTTTCTGTCAAGATCTCTTGAAAGTCATTGAGGTTCCAACACCAGGGGGGGTATTTGATCGCCAAGACTGGGGCAGTCGTCAGCTCTCAAGATTGTCCATCCGGCGGATACCACTGCGCCATGCCCCCCCCGGAAAACTCACAACACTCGACCCCATTAGTATCTCAGCGACTTGAGCTACAGCCTGAGAGGATCGAGGTATCTTGAAATATGAAGTCTAGATTTACTTCATATTGCGTCACTCCATCATGGGAAACACGGCAACGCGCCAGAGCCACAAAAACCCGCCGTCCCCAATTGTTTCGTCGATCAACGCGAATCTCCCTCGCGGGTCACAGTAAATTAGACGGGCACTCTCTCGATCGACCTGTAACCAAGATTGCGAGGCTGTGCTGCTTGTCTCAACCACGATCCACGCGGCAGCGATTATGTCACAGGTCTGGTCAAACAAACATGCAAAAATGCCAAAATGTCAATTTGTGCCAGGACGAAAGTTCATATGGCAAAGCAGCTAACCTCGTCGGCGTTGATTCCCCAACAGCACCTGACTCACCGAGAGAACGCCGTCCCTCATTGACGTCCCATTCCGCAATAATCACGTCGCCATCGGCCCTCGTCAGTTGGATAGAGCCCGACTTATACATCCGTAAAGCCGCGTGCGTGCGTGGCGTGTAAAGGCCGCGAGCTCACCGTACCCGCGTCGGCCAGTAGTAGTGCAAACCGCCGATACCGTGCATGCTTCCGATTCGGGCTACCCATGGACTGTTGATTGGGCTTGAGCGGGGGCCGACATCGCCGCTCTGCGCAACTCGGTGTCGCCATGTGCCGAAAACGTGAATGATACTAATCTTTCTGAAGTGGGGGAGAACTTATCCCCCCACGGGCACTGCCGTTTCCCTTGTTCAAAGGACTGAGATAGACATCGCCATGGGATAACTTCACAAATTAACGCTGCTCAATATCCGCTCGACTGCTCATTCAATTCAATCTAGAGAATAGTCAGCCACAAGCTCGTAGCCAACGCCACAGTCACTCATCATCCCCGAGAAAAAGCACAATGACTCTCGGCCCTCAATGCTGGCGCTGCCGCAAAAAGCGCCTCCGATGCGACTCCTCCGTGCCAACCTGCCGGAAATGCATCGCCGCAGACACAGAATGCCCAGGCTACGGCGACAAGAGGCCCATCGCCTTTCGAGATCCGCTCGTCTTGACGCAAAAGGGCGCCATCATCCGGGTGCGGGATCGGGAGCCGGAGAGCCATCGCGACCGTGACCGGGGAAAGACACGGAGCAGCAGTAGCAGTAGCCCACCGGCGTCCGTTCTTGGCATCGTATGCCGATCGCCAAGAACGGCCGGACCTGTGATGGAGTTGAGGATTGCGGCTGATGCCATGGAGTATTGTGGGTAAACGCCATCCCGTGTCACATATTCACGTACCGAGTATATTCCTACACCTCACTCACTCACTCAAACATCATCGCTCACTTACTACAACGAGCTCACTCACCCACACATCTCACTCACTCACTATCCGATTCTCCCCCTCACATATTCGCTTCGACATCTTCACTAATAAATCCATCAACTAATTACCCATCAACAGATAACCACCACGTAGCACCAGACCTAGTCCCGTACTCAACATCAACATCACCATACCAAATCTCCCCCCTCCAAATCGCCTCACTCGCCCCCTACCTCCGTAACACATACATCTCCATCGCCGCCCTCCACAGACACATCAACGGACAACCCTCGTCGTCATCATCATCAAGTATCTTATCAAAGCTCCCAAACCAGAACAAGACCCTCGCTGCCTCCACATCCCGCTCTCCATTCAGACAATATGCATCAACATCGGGCGCTACATCCGAAGTGTCCAGACTCATGGCGGGAGGCGACTTTAAAAGCGTCCACTTCGCATCCCAAGCCGCCGCCTTACAAGCCCTAGGCCAAGAACTCTGCGCATATCACCAACCTCACGAGACCAGCTCATCGGCCACCGCCGAAGATCCGGGGCCCAGTATCCTCCTCGGCATCATGGTGATGCTCTCATCTCAGGTACCTTCCCCACCACATCCCTCTATCCGGTAGCCCCACGAACTCCTCCTCGCCACCTTCCCTTCCTCCCTCCCTATCCCTCTCCTTGTCCTCGCTCTCTAGTCGAACTCTTCAGCCATGACCAAATTCTAACACCTCTCAAGATCCAATTCTCAGCCTACGCCCCTTGGCAATCCCACATCACCGGCGCGTGGAGCATAATCCTTACCCACGGGCCCTTCGCAGCCGTTGCAAAGTCAGACCCAGAACTCTGCCGCCTCCTCCAACAATTCGCAATCTTTGACATCTTCGGCACATCCACCTACGGGGCCATCACCCTCAACGAGCCGTCCGTCGCCCGCACGATCTTGGCCAGACAGGAATCCTACGAAGCAATATTCCAAGAATCGGATACAAACACTCGTAACCCTTGGAGGCTGGTGCCCAACGACCTGGCCAAGGTACTCATTCGCATCAATGGGCTACGAGCACGGAGGGCGCTCTACCCAGAGACAGAGAAGCCTCTCCCGGACGAATTGTCCGCCGTGCTAAAGTATCTGGATACCTCACCGCCAGAGAAATGGGCCGCTGAGATCTCGACGACTGCAGAGGCATGGCTGGCGCCGAGTAAACTGAGTCACGACCAGGAAACAAAAGACGCCTGGGTAGCACTGATGACGACATATCATGCCGCTGCCACTTTGTACGCCATCAACAGTCTCGCAGGCCTCAGAACCACACATAGATCAAGCACCGTCTGGTCAAAAGAAGTCTCATCCCATCTCGCAAGCAGAGAATCAGCAGCATACACCGCACTCATCGCAAGTCTCCGCGTCCTCTTCACCCAAAGAACCCAGCGGCATCACCCGCATGCCAGCAAAACACCATCAAACTCCATCGCAACCAGCGCAGGGCTGTTACACAAATTCGTCATCTGGCCAATGGTCATCGGCGGAATCCACTCAGCCCTCATCTACCACGACGAAGAGACCAGAAACTTCATGTGCTCGGGGATGCAAGCGGTCGGTGAAGAATTGGGCACAGTAAGCATGATAGACGGTGCTCGTCTCGTCGAAAAGCTACAGCGTGAGGCAAAGCACGGTCGCAAGTTCTCGTCATGGGACGAGCTGTTTGAGGGAGCACCCTTGTTCTTGATGTGATTGTGCGTCTTCCTCAGGACCCAAGTGTCACCCAAGGGTCACCCAAGGACCAAGTCGCGGGATCCATTGGGAGCTTGGGACCATCCACCCCGCAAAACGGGATTTCGGGGTCTCGCCCCTCCAAGCAACACCGGGTCAGACAGCCAAGCGTCGCCGATGTGTCCGGGACGATCGTCCGAATACTCTGCATGCCTTTGAGTTGCAGCCGTTCGAGCCGCGGCCGATCACTGCCAGTACCACCAAGGATCTGAGACACGGAACGGCATCCAGCGTTTGCAATCTCTCACCAAATTCCTGCGTTCATCAAACATGGTCTTCTGATTGAGTATTCCTTGAGCATCACAAAATAGGGGCACCGAGACAATAGTGTTTGAAGTAGTCATATAATCCGTTGGATATGTACAGGAGAAAAGGTGCGTGCACGACGCCGGTAAGCTGAAGGGTATCTGTCCCGAGCAGCAGTCAAGATTACAAGTCGGTGTAGTGTGTCCAGACAAGCAAGGACCAGCGCCGGTGCGATTCTCACACAGCGTCTGGCGATGTTGGGAGCAGTAGGTGCAAATATGCATGCGGCATGTCGGCCAATGCAAACCTCCCAGCAAATAAAAAGAAGAAAAGAACAAGAGCAGGCCCCCAATGCTAATGCAAGCGCCGCTAAGAGACGTGACGGAAAATGGTCGTAAAGTGCAATATGCCAATTGCTTTCAAGCAAAACCTCGTCGTTGTCGAACCTCGAAGACTCGCCCCGAGGGTAATCATGTTGCCGTCGTGAGATCGCTGCCCTGATCTATGTATCGTCCATTTCAGAACTCTTTTCTTTGTTTTTTTTTCTTTGATCGGTCCAAGTAGCGTAGGCCAGACGCTTCTACCGCTGGATCTCGCTGACGCTGACGCGGCTTGACCTCCAGTCGTTGGTGGGAGTCTGCTTCGAGGACCCGAAGCCGGGCATGGAAGCGAAGCGGCTCAATCGCTTCTTACTGGGCTCGGTTTGTGTCGGGGCGATGGCCGGCGAAGCAGGCTCAGCGTGGTGTAGGGCATTGACTCGTGGTGATGAAGACTCCTTGCTGGTGGTCGTGCCGGCGGACGAGGAACCCGTAGATGTGGGGGTTTGGTAGACGTACTCGCCGTCGACGTAAACTGCGTTGGAGACGAAAGTTGAGCGACGGTGACGGCGACGAGTGTAGCGCTGCTCCAGACGGAAGAGCTCAATCTTCTGCTGAATGCGTTCAAGAATACCGGGAGCCATTGTGAATGATTTTCGAGCGTAGACGGTCGATGTAGGTTTGTAAAGCGTGTTGTACTGGGGTTGTTCGAGGATTTGATCTTGCTCAAAGTTGAAGGCGGGACGAGGCGAACTCAATCGACTCAACTTGGGATGAGATGGTTGAGCAGGTACAGATGACGGGACGTGATGTACGGGAGGACAATGTCTGTGAACGGTGGCAGACGCACGTCGTAATGTAGGGGCGCAACAGATCAGACGAAAAGCTTATCGGTCGCGGTAGGAATGGGGGGGGGAATGGAGGTCGCAATCTTGTGACACAGATGTCTCTGGTGGCTCGGATGTGTTGCAATTCCCCTTTTCTGCCGGTTGGCGTTTGCGGTAAGATGTCTGTCGTATTTTGAGAACAGATTGGCAGCAGGTGTCTGATAGTGGTGCCGTGATCGGGTGCTTTGGCTCTTGGATTTGTTCTTTTTCTAATTCGGCACTCTGTGGCTAAGAGTAGCTTGGTGTCTGTGACCTGTGTTGGGAGTCGGTGCGGGAGCGAGGGAACGAGAGGTAGTCAAAACGCCGGGCTTCGAGACCTCTTGGGGTGGTTTTGGTTTATTAAGGTGAGTTAAGTTGGAACGAGCGGACTGGGTGGGAGTATGTGTGTGCGAGTGAGGGAGATGTTGTATCCGGTCTGGAGTGGTTGGGCTGGGTTGGTCAGGATGGATAGAAAAAGATTGGAAGAATGGCGGCGGCGGCTTGGCCCAAGGTGGTAAAGTGAGTTGAAGGAAAGGTACCTTTAGGTCGGGCCGGAGGGTGAGGTGTGGTCGGGTGTGCGTGAGGTGTGTGCCGTGTGGTGTGGTGGTGGAAAGGGAAGAATGACAATGTGCAAGGGAAAGGATTGGATGGCCCAGAAGGGAACTGCCAGAGTGGAAGGGGCCAAGGGGGGAAAACTGAGGTACTTTGAAAGGAGGGGAAAGAGCGACTCGTGCAGGGAAAGAACCGTCTACGAATCACGGATTCAGCAGATAGGAAAGGTAAGTACAGATACGGTTGCAGCTGCAGGAAGAGAACCTTGATAATACTGTTATGGATGGTTGGAAGGCACGTAGGGTGGAAGGGAAAGAAGAAGAGGAGACGGGAAGGAATGGTGTGGTGTGTGTGTCAACTTGCAATGGAAGGAGCAGGCGTAGGAAAGCTGCAGGTGGCAGGTGCAGCAAGACTTCTTTCCGAGACTGGATGAATGGAGTGGGGCAAGGTGAGGTGCTTGGGCTTCTCGAACCTGGTACGGACACAGACGGGGTGGATTCCGTGGGAGGGAGCACTGAAGCACTTTGATGAGCCAATCCAGAGGAGTTTGCACAATTGACAATGGGAGTCGCTGGTGCAGCACTGGCGCACTGCAGACAGGTGCAGGTGCAGGTCTGGGATATGCATATCGAATGTCACCCTCAGCGTCGCGCCTGGATGCATCGAATGCTCATTCTCAGAATCTCTCAGCCATTGAGAAGCGCTGGAAAGATGGGAAAAGATGGAAAAGCGACGGGTCCCCCGATAGACCGGTTCATGCCTCGTTTCTTCCTTGCCAGTTCCTGCCCATCGTTTCCTCTTCGAACAATAGCGTGGGATTTGTATCCACTCACATGGATCCACTAATCTCTAGCCGACCCCGCTCTACACGCAATTGTAGCCAACGATATGGCACCAGCCGGGACGCATTCCCTGTCCCGCCATGTGCTCTCCTGCCCTTTCCCACTTGCTCTTTCCCAAGCTTCACAGCCCCCCGGACGTTGCTTCTCTTTCTTGCTGTCTGCTCCGAGTTTCGTTCCTCTTCCGGTGGAGTTCCCTGCACTTGCGGCCATTGCTCCCAACTTTCCCAACTTTGCTCGCGCAATTTGTTGGTTTCTTCAGCTCCGCCTTCGTTTATTTGTCGTTAGTTTTCTCGCAGTTTGTGCCTCGTGTCGACATGGCCGTTTCAATCCGTCTTGATGTCACGTTTTCTTCCTTTTTCTTCCTCCGCCTCAACCGTCAGCCTCCAAGGACCGGTCCCTAACTAACTGACACGAACCACACGAAGCAACGGTGGTGGAGGCTTAGAGGACTAAGTCCCGAGTCTCCGTCTACTTCCTTTTGGATGGTTCGTCCGTCTCGGCCCGTTGTCAAATAATCCACAGCTGGTCGGAGAACTCCAGAGTCGAGACGGGGCATTGGATTTCGACACTTGAACGCTGCTCCCAAACGGTGATCCGCTGCGTCGATCCGGCCTGGAATGCTCCACGATGCCGTTGGTGCTGCACCAGATGTTCCGTCCGGGTATGCTATCCTGTCTCCCGTGCCTTGCTTGCGTGCTCGCTGACTTTACTCACAGTCCAGACTGAAGACAGTCACTGCATACCATCTCAATATCCTACAGTACTTCCCCAACCACGTCTCAGGGTCCCAGGAACGACGAATCCAGATAACACACCGAACTATCACCAAGTTGTCACCCACAACCGTCGACCATGATACCATCGTCCTCATGTATGCCCCTCCCGCCCCTCCCCTCCGCCACCTAGTTCCCCTGAACCTTCGCGTTCGGCGTAACATCGCTTCATGAGCAATCGGTGGGACCAACATTCAGGGGTTCGTCCGCTTCGATCCCCGCCCTCCGAGTCAATCACCCCGGCGAAAAACTCGCCCTTAAGCGATATTGCATCTGCGCCGTCGGGTCAACCAGTGTCGTCAGTGCACTACAACCTATCAGGCTTCAGCACGCTCGTTTCTCGATCCCAGTTGACCGGATTCTGGATATCGGCGATGACTTCAAGACAGGTCTGAAGGAACACGTCTGATGCACTCCCACGTGATATCAATCTCCTTTGAGAACACTCGGGTTTTTATTGGTTTACAGCAGGTATGACTGATGATTATAGGTATGGCTTGTTGCAGTGCGAATCTCTGCCGCACATATTTCGCCAGCCTAAAGCCGCCTGGGTCGAATTAATATCAACCTCAAACGGATATACAACCACCGTATCAACCATCATCGGTCTCCATCTCAGCCATCGTTGCCTCGCAAAGATCGTCTTCCAGCTCGGGACACCGTACTCGCAAGCATTCCAATATTTCGACGTACCCCCCAGAACCATCGTTGCCGTCTGCTTCTTGTATAATATGCTCCAAGGCAGAGAATCCAAAGGGCTCCAAAGGCCGCCGTAGCGCCGTGATATCTACTCCCGGGCAGCCGATCAAGGCTTCCATCGCCTCCATGTTCGCGCTCGTCACGGCATCAACCAGTGGTGTTGACCCGTCATTAGCTGTAACGTCAAGTTCGATTGAGGGCAGGTCTAGGGCAGCGTTCAACGTCTCCCGATCGCCGTGACGAGCAAGAATGTGCAACGCTGTCTCGCCGTCTTCGTTCTGCACATTGAGCTGATCCTCAGGTGCTCTGGAGAGGAGAAATCGGAAGAGACCGTGTCGCTTGCGAGATGCTGCAACATGAAGTGCTGTCTGCCGTACCTGGCGATCGACGAGAAAGTCGACGCCAGGATACATTGCCAAGAACCTAGCTGTGGCATCGTCATCTGCCTTCGCGATAGCGAGATACAACGCAGTGTGCCCGGACTCGGACGTCTCTCGGTTCACGTATTCCTCGTTCTCCTCCTCTCCATCGTAGTGGGCCTTTAGAATCGCCTCCACCACATGTGCTTGCCCGCGAAGAGCCGCGACGTGCAAGGGCAGCATTCCGTTCCGATCTCGTGTCTCCTCCGCCGGCCGGATCTCAGGGTGATAGCGTAATTCCGCGTAACAAGCCTCGCACCCGACCGAGGCCGCGAAGTGGAACAGCGAGAACCGTCTCCGAAAGATCCGATGCCACGGCTTGGCGCCTCCCGGTTCCAGGAGTCGATGCACGACGTCCGGCCTGCGGTCCAAGATCGCGGCGTGGACTAGGGTGAGCCCTTGGTTGTCCTTGAGGTCCGATCCGACGTGGTTGGTGAGGAAGGCCAAGTCATCGAGGGACCAGCTGCTGGCTTTCGGCGGGATGAGGGCGAGATCTCGTGCCAGTATGGGGTATTTCGCGCCTTCTTTGACCAGAATATCGTGGGCCCAGATCTTCGCGTATGGCTGCGAGTCTGAGTAGAGATCGCCTGGCCCGAAGAGGAGGCATCCAACAACCGCATGGGGGACCAACTTCTCCCATTCTGGGCCGAAGCCCTGTTCCACGTAAGACCAGTCGTAGAGTCCGAACTTCTTCAGGAGAATCGGTAGCCTCGAAGAGAGTGTGGTGGACAGTGAGGCTATCGCTCTCAACGTAATAGTCTCCGACATGATTGACCTGGACCGGAAGAGTAGGTCGGAGATTTGTTCGCGTATGAGTAGTCGATGAGTTTCTACTGGACCATCTATCATCGGACGCTTTGGCAAATTGCCGTGCAACTCGGTGAGAGCATTCTCAAACAACATCCTCTCGGCCAGGCACGCGGGTTTGCCGTGTCCGAGTCTCGTCTTGAGCGCGACCGATATTCTATCTTTGAGAAGAGGTAAACTTTGATGAAGACCCGAGACGTAAGGCACATCGAGCTGTGCCTGGGCTCCAGGTCCATGGCTTTGGCAGGGGGTCTTTTGGAAATCGAGAATATCCAGCAGAGAGTTTCTCTGGTGATGGTGGACCTCATATACGCTGTTTAGAAGCTGGACTGCGGTAAGTATATCCATCCTGTATCTTACAATTAGATGAGTCTAACAATCAAACTGACACCGGCCTTACAGATCTTCGCAGTTCCAAGCACTACTAGAGCCATCGTGACCTTGGCTATGGGATCCATGTCCTCCCGGGACGCGCATCATGTTTTCGGACTCTTCGTCGCCTGGGACCTGTCTTCGAGTTCTTTTCTTAACTTCTCCAGGTGAGCATTCCAGCCCTTTGGACAGACAGCGGTCGCACTTTTGCGGCCATGTCCGAGGTTGTGGGAGGCACTTGGTATCACGCTTGTCAGCAGATTCCCAACCGAAGCCCTGGACGCTCTGTGACACAGGCAGGACCCGAGTTTGTGTTCGGAAGGGGAGCGAAATACCTTCAACTTGTGTTGTCTGCAAAGCTGGCACTTTTCGCTGTCCAGTTTCCTGGGAGGCTTCTTCCTTTTGTTAGAGTCATCCTGGTAATCCCTAAGATTTGGCGACGTTTGCAGGCTGGAGGACGAAGGTGCTGCAGGTTGTCCAACCGGCGATCCGGTATTGATGCCCGGGTTGGCCGCCATGAAAACTGTAGAGAAAACTAGATCTCAAGAGCTTGTAAAGCTTGCGAACAGCTCTAGTCTAGTCGAAGGTCGAGTAGTCTAGGAGAACGGACTGCGCTCCCACTTATTCACGATGATACTCATAAGGCTGTCATCCGGACCGGGGTTGACCATCGCACTTGTAAGTGCGACACAGTCCTTCATGCACGAGAGCGGGACAGCAGTGGGGTTGACGAATGGCGTGGCCGTCGCACTTTCACCGCACTTATCGCACTTATGTCGCACTCCAAATCGGTACGGATGCGTATGATCATCGCACTTTGCTCACCCCATCGCACGCATCGCATCCATGCCGGATCCTTGTCAACCTTTTGTGAGGCTCAACTTTGGGCACAAGAATCGAGTGCGGGGTTGATGAAGCGAAACTTTGCCAAGGTAGGGTAAGCTGAGGTTTTGCTATCTCTCGCAAGCCAAGTAATTCTCAACTTTCTAGATAGAACACGCACACGTAGCCTAGAGATATACCACTTTGCCCATACTTGGAAGCGTGTGAAATGAAATGTTGACTTTGCGACTGTGAACCTCTCTCATGTGCCTACCTGTAGATCACAAGAACAACGTTCATTACACCTCTTCGTCCTTATGACTGCGTCCATGCTCCTCAGGAAACGCAGGCTCAGGCCTCGATCCATACGGTATAATCCTTACCATATGCCTCCTCTCACCCTCCCTAAAATCCGGCACGGCACTATGCGCCACGCTCCTCTGATCCCACACAACAACCGACCCAGCCTCCCACCTAATCCTACAGCTAAAATCCAAACTCTTGATATGATTATGTAAAAACGCCAACAGCGCATCCGACTCCTCGGGCAGGAACCCCTCCACCCGCCTCGCAATCGTCGGGTTCACAAACATACTCGGCTTTCCTGTAACCGGGTGCCGGATTACCAATGGATGCGTCGTGGAGACAGCTTCGCGGAGGGCGCGCTCTGCGCCCACGCGCGCGACTTCGCCTACGGAGGCTGAAGTGTGAAAGAGGCTGAGACCGCGGAGGGTGGCGCGGTAGGCGGGGGAGAGGGCTTCGTAGGCTGCTGTTAGGGATGTGAAGGCTGTGTCGCCGCCGCCGGAGGCTGGGGTCTCGAGAACCCAGAAGAAGGTTGTTGAAGGGGTGTTTGGGGTGAAGGTTTGGTCTATGTGCCAGAGGTCGTAGGTTGTGCGGGGACCGAGGAGGGTGCGGAGGTTGCCTCTGACGTCGTGAGTGTGAGTATATGTATGAGTCTCGTGATCTTCTTGATCCTGGGTGGGGTGTAGGGGGAGGTAGTGTGTCTTACGCTTTCTCATCGGCGTAGACGACGTGAAACTCTGGGCCTGTGCCTTCTGGATATCCCATCGTGGGATGCTGTGACCGGGGCAGATTAGCGAATGCGCTCAAACTAAACGTGACCTCTCGAACCGTACCTTGTGCAGAGGCCCATAGTGCCTCACAATCTCCTTTTGCCTATCAAACCCAATATCGGCAAAATCTTGGTCTCTCTAGAAAGACACGCACGATTAACATACTGTTCCTACACAACCATGGCCTGCCTCAAGCAAAGGCGTCACCACCATCATCATATCCCCAATTTCTGACGGAAACTCACAAAAACAAGAACGCCTCTCTCAGCAGCTAATAGCGCTACCTCGTCCAGATCCGCCTTGGAGAGCTGGCTAAGCTGGATGCCCCGGACCTCGGCGCCGACGCGGGGGGTGATGTTCTCCACTTTGGCGGCGCCGCCGTCCCGGAAGATGGAGGGGGAGGAGGGGGAGGAGGGCTGGGTGGCTTTGGCCCGCGCGCCGGGTTCTTCGGCTTCGAAGAACGGCACGTCGATGGTCGGCTGAAAGCCGTCGGGCCTGGTGGGGAGGTAGGCTGGGTACAGTGGTTCGGTCGGCATGCTGTCTGGACGTGAGTGCGTGGCAGCGAGGGCGGGAATAGTGAAGCACGCAATGCTTGAGACCGGACTGTCTAGAACTTCACGGTCGCGTGTTGTCGGTATATGTATCCAGCTTTGCTTGCAAAGCCGATGAGACTCAATTGGTTATCGCGTCAGTTTTCCTCTCACTCGATCGGCGACGTCCCGACAAACGTGCTGGCGGTTTCCGACCAGCACGAAGTCCACAGTCGAATGGTAGATGCAGAATAGGTCTCCTTTCATCATTCGGCGGGACACCGACGCGTCACGGCATAAGCCGGCGAAATGGCGACATTTTACATTGTATCCCTGCCCACCGGCGACGCTTCCCCGGAGCTGGGATGGCCCATGGAACGCTACGATTCGGTAACGAGAAACAGAGTTTTGGCTAACGGTTCATCTGAATTTCTGCAAAAGTAACTGGCCGTCCAACTTTTGGCACTTCTTCCCGCTCCCGTTCCCGTTCCTGTTCATGTTTCTATTTCATCATGAAAGATGGTGATGTTGCCATTTCATACATTGCCCAATATCTTTTAAGCATTGTCTTGAGCGTCGGTGTCATCCGACATCTTGTCGGGATCTGTCCGCTTGAGGAAGTAGTCTTGGTACATGGCGATGGCGAATGTCGGTTCAACGATCGAGTTCAAATACGACCCTGAAAGCCGCTGTTGAAAGACCAGTTGCTTTTTGAGCGATCGGTATCTTAGCCATCGAAGCCCTACCTTCCGTTGAGACATCCCTTTTGATCTCGCAACTATCCATCAGAGGAATATCACAAGGCATCACCAACAATGGTAAAGACCGAGCCAGGAGTGGCCTCAGCGGAAGCCAGTCCCAACCTCACAAAACCTTCGATCCCATGGCTAGCTAAGATCCATCCCTATTTTGAAGATGCAGAACATGTCCTCGTTCTCAAGCTCGACCTCCTCCTCCTATCATGGGCCTTCATCGCAGGCCTCATGAAGGACATGGACCAGTCCGCAACGACAGCAGCCTACGTCTCAGGCATGCAAGAGGCCCTCTCCCTCTACGGCAACGAACTTGTCGAGTTTACGACATACTTCTCCATCGGCTATGCCCTCTTCATCGTCCCTTCTCAACTCATTCAAACCCGCGTCCGCCCGTCCCTCTGGTTGCCATTCTGCGAAGTCGTCTGGGGCGCCATCACCCTCGCGACCTTTGCCGCCAAGAACGCCCGCACCGTCTTCGTTTTGCGCTTCTTCCTCGGCGTATTCGAGGCGACTTCGTGGCCGGGCATCGTGAACCTCATATTCAACTGGTATACCCCCTCCGAACTCGGCAAACGTCTGGCCATCTTTGGCGTAAGTAGCCAGGCCGGCAGCATGTTCCTCGGCATCCTCCAAGCCGCGCTCTACAAGAACCTCAACGGCGCACACGGCCTCGAGGGCTGGCAGTGGCTCTTCGTCGTCTCAGGTACTATGACGATCGTGTGGGGTCTCTACGGGTTCCTGGTCATCCCCGACGCGCCCACCACGACCCGCGCCCTCTGGCTCACTGCAGACGAACGCGTCCTCGCCGCATCACGCATGAAGAAGTCCGGGACGACGACCCAGGAAGTCATCAAAGGGAAGGCCCTCTGGTCCCGCGTGCGGAAACTCTTCACCTCGCCCATCACGTACCTATTCCTCGCCGCATACCTCCAATTCGCCTGGTCTCAGCGCGCCAACTCGTATTTCTTACTCTACCTCAAGGGCCTCAAGGCCGCAGACGGCACGACGGCGTTGTATTCTGTCTACACTGTCAACCTCATCCCGCTCGGCGGCTACGCGATCTCCATCGTAGCCAACATTTCCCTCAACGCGCTGAGCGATTGGAAGGACTGGCGGTGGCAGGTCGCCATCGGCGCCGCGGTGCTTCAGCTCGTGGCTACATCTGTATTGGCAGCCTGGCCTGGCGGAAGGGGGACAATTATGACGTTTTACTTCTTGACGTTTGCGACGGCGGCTTGGGGATATGCTCTCCTCGCATGGCTTGCCATCATCTTGCGCAAGGAGCCTGAGGCGAGATCGGTGATTGTTGGACTCGCGGTTACGCTTGTGTATGTTGGGCATGCTACGATCCCGCTTCGGGCGTGGAGGACGGCGGATTCACCGAGGTATCCTATCGGGTTCCCGCTGGCGGCGGCGTTTAGTGTTGGGAGTATCGCTTCTATCCTTGGGATGTTGTGGTATGTGCGGAAGTATCCCGATGTTCTTGATTTTGGTCTCAATTGGAAGTCGTTGAAGGAGGCTGGGGAAAGTGTTGCGACGTTGGAGAAGGTGGATGTTCAAAGCGACGATGGACGTGAGAACCAGAAGGGGTCTACCACAGAGGCGACAAAGGCTTTGTCATGATAGGTACGACCTCAACTCTTTTCCTCATAGTTTCAAATACCATAGCCTCCCATAAAGTCTAAGGATGAACGACTATATCCCAGAAAGGTTCCGCTGCGCTCTACGAAACTTGATCTTGCGTCGTCAGTCGACGCCGGGACTGATTCGACTCCAGCTCCATATCCAGACCTACCCCCGACGTTCGAGTGAATACGCCGTCTCGTACAGCAAAACGGTCAGACTTTAAGGCTATCGCCAGGCGGCCCACGTCATCGTCAGTGGCAACTCTCGCGTCGTTAAGCAAGTCTGCCAGCTCGGGGCTGTCTAAAATCTGCGCAACAGTGTGCCCCACATTCTCAGGCAGACTATAGCGCGTAGACCGGAACAACAAGGCAGCTGTAACGAATGAGGCCAGGAAGACGGCCAAGATTTCCACGACGGCTAGGTACCCCCTAAAACGCCATGGGTTTGATGTCAACTCAAATGTGACAACTTCCGCGGTGTCTGTTCCGGGAGCGGCATAATTGGGAGAGAACGCGCTGAGAAAGTCGCAGTAGACAAGCCGCGCGAGGGTAAAGTACACCGCCTGCATTGCGCGTGCCGGGGATCCCGTCTCGGCAATAGGGTAACCAAATAGTCGCTGATACACTACGTCGCTGGTACCATCCTGAGAAAGCTGTTTGGACGTTGTCCAGCTGGAGCCAGGAGTGGGAATATCACCTGCGTCTTGTGTGGTTGCTCTGTTCCTGTCGTCATGCGCCGAAAGTATTCAACTGATTACTTTACCTTGGTCGGCGAAGCTTATGTCCATGGAAATATGGACGCTGAAGCAATCGAAGATTCTGATGTTGCAGATGACTCCTCAGACACAGTGGAATTTCGTATTTTGTAGATGGCGCAGCTGAGAACTCGAAATTATCACTTTCCTGGGCTTTTTGTCCTTCAGTTCATTCTCTTCAAAGCTAAGCTCGACGGCTGCTTCTTTGTTTGAGCATGATGACCGTTGTTACTGAACAGCATAATTCTCACGTTTCTCAATCATTGTAGCTACTCAAACGGATCTCCGAGCGTGAAATCATCAAAACGATGGGTCTAGCACTTATGATCTACGTAGTACTCAGTTCAAGATGAAGCCTCCTGTGCGGTAGCAAAAGCATGAAGACTGCCTGTGGCTCTAGGATGCACAGTCTGACCTGCCCAAGGACTATCGGTGCCGTTGAATCCATCATCCTGGAGACTTTGCTCATCCGGAATACCCCAGCCTCCTCCTCCTGGAGTGTGGATCACACATCGATCGCCTGTCTTCATATCCACCTGACCTCTGGGCCCGATACTGATCCACCTCTCATCGCCATCGTCTGTCTTCTGCACCCAGTAGTTAGCACCAGACTCTCCATTCTCCCCGCCCATCATCCCGTACGGCTGGTGCACACGGCGCTCAGAGATAATGCCGTACGTCAGAGGAGCCCGACACTCGAAGTCCCGCACGATTCCACAGCCTCCCCGGAACATTCCATCCCCCCCACTATCTTTTCGGATAGAGAACTCGCGGATAAGAACCGGGTAACGCTTCTCAATAATCTCAATGTCCGTCGTTCGGGTGTTGGTCATGTGAATCTGGACGCCGGAGGCGCCGTGCCAATTTGGACCCGCGCCCTCACCCCCACAAATGGTTTCACCATAGCCGAAGCCGAAGCCTTCGGAGTTGTCGTCCTTAGAATCCTCCGAGGAGGCTGCAGGATCAACAGAGTTGCCAAAGAACCCGAAACAATTCATGCACCCCTGCGATCCGGCAGCTGCTCTGAATGCCTTGAGAAGTAGATCGACGAGTCGTTGCGAAGTGAGGGTGTTCCCGCAACAGACGGCCGACTGTGGTCCAGGATTCAGGAAAGTGTTCTTTGGAAGAATTACCTTGGTAGGTGCAAGGCAACCTTGATTCAGCGGGATGTCGGATCCGATTAGCAACCGAAGAGTGTAAATCAGAGCCGAGTAAGTGATCGCAGGCGGCGCGTTCATATTGGATAGCATCTCGCAAGACGTGCCGGTGAAATCGAAGGTACCAAAGCCGGCTTCATCAATGGTGATGGACACTTGCATCCGTGAGCCATTGTCAAGGTAATCGACAGCCTTCAGCGGCTTCGAGCCGAAGCGTCTGTATGCGGACGAAAGGAATCTTCGGACGGAGACCTCGGCGTTCTCTTGGATCTTCGCCATATAAAAGTGCACCACGGACCTCCCAAACTCGTCCATGAGTGCTCTAATGAGAACACTTCCCTTTGTGTTTGCTGCGACTTGGGCCTTTAGGTCCGAGAGGTTGTCTGGCAGACGTCGAGAGCCGCTGCAACCCGGGAAGAGTCCAGGGTCAAGGAGGATCTTGACAATGCCATGTTCGTCGAACTTGCCGTCGCGTATCAGGAAGAAAGACTTGATTGCAGCACCTTCTTGCCAAAGTTCTGTAGAGTCGCTGTAACACGAGTCAGCAAAGGGCTACGATACATACAATGGAGTGCTTACGGAGGCATCGAGTTCCCCTTTGATCCACCAATGTCCAAATGATGACCCCTGGATGCGGTGTAGAAACATATCGTCTTGCCATCCTCGTCGAACACTGGGGTTATCACCGTGATATCTGGTAGCATTTAGTCTGCTGCTACATTCTCATCGGATCTCAAGAACCTACCTGGGAGATGGGTTCCTCCAGCTTCGGGGTGATTTGAAACCAGCACATCACCAGGACGGAGATTACCGCGATGCAACTCATGCTGATACTTGACCGCATAGCTCATGCTGCCCAAATGCACTGGTACATGCGGAGCATTTGCAACCAGGTCACCTACTGGACTGAAGATAGCACACGAAAAGTCCAATCGCTCCTTGATGTTGAGCGAGATACTTGTTTTTTGCAGCGTGCGTCCCATCTGCTCCGCGATGCTCATGAATCGATGTCCGAAAATACTCAATTTCACTGGGTCAACAATCAGCTCCTTGGTCTGTACTGCATCGCTCTTGCTAGTATTTTCGACGAGATCGATCACTACGTGCGAGGTCAGGATCTTTGCTTCGGCTCCGGGGACGACAACGATGGTTTGGGTGTTATCAATGACAATTGCTGGACCCATAATCACAGCACCAGGTTGCAGACTGCTGAGCTGGATGATCTTGGTAGACTGGAGTCCTCCAGTGGTGAAGAAGGCATCCGTCTGATAAGTCATTAGTGTGTGGCCGAATAAACATAGACTTCGCAGTTGAAATTTCGGACTTACGAGGCCATTTTCAACCTCCGGGGCACCCTTGAAAGACAGCGATACAAGCTCTTCAACCAAGCATGCATTATCACTGCTGGAATCGTCCGCTTTTCCAACTCCTCGGACGCGAATGTCGTCAACGTGAACCTTTCTTGTTCTGGGAAATGTGAAGGATAGCTCCCGTAGGTGCTCCCGCTCAAGAGCCGCCAACCAGTCTCCGTCATCTGGTTCCAAAATCATGAAGTTCGTGTCCGTACCATTGTATCTCATATTAAGATACGATTCGTATTCGATTGCTGATTGCTCGATATTCTGTGCTAAAAGACCACCGGTGGCTTTGTCCTTGAGGAAAGACAACCTAGCGTTCAACCTCGGCAGAGACTCCCCTGCTAGCATCTCAGAACTGGGCTCTTGAGCTTCTTGCACCACCTCGGCAAGTGCCATGCCATATGCTGACAGGATGCTCGAATACTTGTGGATGACTATGCGTCCGATTCCAAGCTTTTCAGCAATTTCGCAGGCATGTTGACCACCAGCGCCACCAAAAGTAGCCAGGTTGTGGTCGGCAGTTACAAAGCCGCGGGCTTCAGTCAAAGCACGGATCGGCCGGCACATAGACTCGTTGGCAACGTCGATGAAGCCTATCGCAACTTCATGTGGCGTCATGGAGCGGCCAGTGTCAGCATTGATCTTCTTGGTGAGCTCTTCAAATTTCGTTGCTACGATATCGGAATCAAGAGGTAGGTTCTCGTCCGGGCCGAAGATCGCAGGGAAGTAACTCGGAATGAGTCGACCGAGACTATGGTGTAGGATATCAGCATCCCGCTTCCTGAAGCGTCACATTCAATGTACTCACAATAGATTTGCATCAGTCACTGTCAGAGGACCGCCCTTCCTGTATGAAGCAGGACCAGGTTGAGCACCTGCACTCTGCGAGCGAATATCAGCTAACGAGGTTCATTGATAGGAGGGACGCATCAACTTACTTCTGGCCCAACCTTAAACAGGCCACCTCGCCAAAAGAGCATGCTTCCACCACCAGCGGCAACGGTATTGATGTCTAGTTGGGGACTTTGGATAGAAACGCCAGCCGTAGTGGACTCAAAGACATGCTCTAGAGCACCACCGTACCGACTGACATCTGTTGATGTACCACCCATATCAAAGCCCACGATAGGGGACTCCCCGTCGTAAGACGTTCTAGCATAACCGACAACACCGCCTAAAGCACCAGAAGATTAGCATCAACAAGGGCCGAAAAGGATCAAGGGACAAGTACCAGCGGGACCACTCAAGATACCACGCAGCCCACTGAAGGCTTTGTGACTGACTAGGCCACCGTCGCTCTGCATGAACTCGCACGAGATGTCATCGAGGTTGCCATCTTGAAACTGCTTCGCAAAGCCTTCGACATACCGCACAATTTCCGGAGTCAGGTACGCATCTGCCGAAGATGAGCTGCCACGAGAGATCATCTTGATCATGTTTGCGCCGACGCTCGACGATGTGGAAATATGGCCAAAACCGAGCTCACTTGCAATCTCTGCAACTCTGTCCTCGTGGGCTGGGTACATGTAAGAGTGTGCAAGGCAGATTGCCAGCGTCTCGATGCCCCTAGACTTAATCTTCAGCATTTTCTGCCGGACCTCGTCCTCGTCGAGGGGCCGGACTACACGAAGCAAGTCGCCGGTCATCCCCCTAACGAAGAGTCCAGGGGACTCTTTGGGCTGAGTGCGACTGCTCTTAAAGGCATCCTCATCGTAAGCTTCCACAGTCAGGCGTTCAAAAATTTCGACAACTTCATCGTATAGAAGCTCTGGCTTGCGGATCCCAAGGTCGAAGAGCTTCGGCCTGGACTGATAACCAATATCGAGGAGGTCGCGGAAGCCCTGATTCACAACGAATGCATGCCGAGTTCCTTTACGCTCCAGTAAAGCTTGAACGGGTGTTAATCGGTATTTTTGTGGACGTAGAGGTTACAGAGGAAGTCACCTACCGTTCGTGGCCACGGTAGTGCCCATTCGAATGGAGCGGATGAGATCCTTGGGAATAGGAAACCGGCGAGGAATAGCTGTGCCAGACACCATTTCCAAGACACGTCGGATGCCCTCTGCCGGTGCGTCGTCATAATTGCCGGGGTCCACTGACAGCAGTTTCAACACCACATCACTCTGACCCGGAACTGATGCCCAAACATCTGTAAATGTTCCGCCACGATCTAGTCCTGTGAGTTAGGCGGTTCCAAAAGCGCAATTCTCATTTTCAACCCAACATACCAATCGCGAACTTGACGCTTTTAGGCTGGATATCACTCGAGTACAGTCCTTTCGCCATCCTTGTCTCATGAAATCGTAGTTGACTTGTCTGTAAAAAGCCTTTGATATGAACAATAATTGCTAGATTAAGTTTGGTTTTAGGTCGTCCTCGTGTTTGATGAGAGCCTCACTACTGATGTGGCCTCATACTTAGCACTTTCTTCCCGCTATCGACATCGGACTTACATATCCGAAAATGCATCAAAAGATATGGGCCCCAACTTGAGGCCGTCGTTTCGGCTTGCCATGCAGCTTGACTCCTATCATTGACGGGCATCGTCGCATGCATGCCGATGATCTGCAGCTTGTACATACTAAGCGGCACAAGTGGGGTATGTCTTCTTGGAGGTTGGATAGAGTGGGAGGGTGTGATAAGCCACCACCCGGCGCTACCCTAAGCACGTCGCCTCGGCCTTCCTCGTGTCTGAATCCTATCAACGGCTGACCGGGGAGTGGAGACCGGTATCCAGCCGCAGGATGAACATGGATGACCCAGATGATAACATTTTCCGAGGTTGGTTGGTATGCCTGCTTTACGTCTTAGTTGACTGCGAGATTAGCTGGGACTGCCGGAGGACTCCCTGGTTCAAAATGATAGTCATGGCTAGGGTCGCTGATAGACGTGAACGTCATGGATCAGACCCAAGCCTACACACCGTCAAGGGGAGTGCTAAGCCTGGATAGACCCTCCAACGGTTATAATACCTGCAATGTCCAGAGCATAAGGTCATCTGCAGACGAAGTTTTCGCCGCCTCTTCATCCATCATCAGCTGTTATTTTTGTTCGCTGAGAGTTTGGTGCTTGCTCCAGTGGATACCAAGCAGGTTGCACGGGTTCCGCTACCAAAATGGTCGAAAAGAAGGAAGCCCCAAGCGGCCATGCCGACGAAAATGGCATCCAGCCCAGCGTCTCCAATACACAGGGCCAGTCTGAGATTCTGAAGTCGCCCCAAGATGGAGTCCTCGATGAGGCAGCGACATTCTTGGCCAATGCTGATGCATTCCCACCTATGACGGCCGAGATGGAGAAGATCATCGTAAAGAAGATTGATGCATGGATGATACCCTTGGTAGGATTTATTGAAACTCTCTAGCCCAACTGCGTGACACGATTCTGATTATGCGAACTCACAGCTATTGTTCACCGCAACTCTCGGTGCAGTCGACAAAGTGCAGATGGGGACAGCGTCTCTGTATGGGTTCCAGACAGACAACAAATTTGTTGGCCAACAATACAGCTGGCTAGGGAGTGTACTACCCTTAGGAGTAAGTGGGCCAAGAGATAGTTTTGACCGAGCACTCAGCGCGTTGATGTTGACAAAATTAGCAATTGATTGGATATGTCGTCGCTTCGTATCTTGTTCTCAAGTTCCCACCCGCGAAGTTCTTATGCGGATCGTCGTTACTTTGGTCTGTCTTAACTTTGCTACATGCTCCATGCAGAAGTTGGTCGGGGTTCATGGCATTGCGCTTCCTCATGGGCTTCATTGAAGCGGCCATTTCCCCATCTCTCACTATCCTCGTATCCAGTTTCTACACCAAACAAGAGCAGCCTCCGAGGAATGCGAGTAAGCTATGGACTTTGAACAAAGTGATTCTGTAGCATGTAATGATATCCCTCTTTCAGTTATCTTTGCATACTTTTCATCGGTCTTCAACGGCTTCTTCGCCTGGCTTGTAGGCAAGATCCCGGACTCGGCCCCACTCCTGAAATGGCAGTATCTCTACCTCATCACTGGGACCATCAATGTCCTGTACTCAATCTTCATCTGGTTCACGCTGCCAGATAGCCCCATGAACGCCCGCTTTCTGACCGACGAAGAGAAATATCACGCCACGAAACGCCTCGCAACTAACCGAACGGGCATCTCCAACAAGGTCTGGAAATGGGACCAAGTGTGGGAAGCTCTCTTGGACATAAAAGTCTGGATTATTTTTGTCTTCAACATTTTCATCAACATTCCGAATGGCGGGCTCGTCAATTTCGGAAGCGTCATTATTAACAATCTCGGCTTCACTTCGCTCGAGGCGAGCTTGCTGACCATGCCGTTTGGTGTTCTGGCTACCTCCAGTGCATGGGCCTTCAGTTATCTGGCCGCTAGATGGCATAATCGAAGGACGTTGGTAGCGTGCATCGCTCTTATGTTGCCGATCTTGGGCACTGGACTTGTACATGGGTTTCCCAGGGCAAATGTGCCGGCGCAAATGGTCGGACTGTATTTCATGTACTTCTACTGGCGTAAGTTGTCATTGAAACCCTGGAAAATCACATGTAGTCGCTAAGAGATTCCATATTAGCTCCTTACGTCGTTGGGATATCGCTTCCACAAGCCAACACAGCAGGTCAGACGAAAAAGGCAGTGTGCTTTAGTCTGGTCCAAGTTGGCTATGCGGCCGGCAACTTGATCGGACCCCAGACATTTCGAGCCGAGCAAGCATCCAAGTATTCTGGAGCCATCATCGCGATGTTGACTAGTTACGGTATTTCTGTCTTGCTGATGCTGGCATATTGGCTCGTCGCCGCCTGGGAGAACAAGAGACGGGACAAGAAGTACGGCAAACCTCAAGAACTGCAAGAAGGAACCGTCGATGGATTCGTGGATATCACGGACAAGGAGCAGAAAGACTTCAGATATACCACTTGAGTATGTAGGCCAAGGGACAATCCCCGAAGGAACTTTGCAAATAACAGTGAAAAAGATACAGCAAATTGCATGAAGACCAGGAATCAACTGGAATTAAGCCAGACTTATGGCATCATAGCGCCCCTCTAAAATAGCCCATCCTTGCTTTCCGTTACAAGAGTCAATATCTCGTGCTTTCCAAACATTCTCAACGATTAGCCTCGCTTTTCTGACGTTTCCTAACTGCCGTGTTTGTTGTAATAAGTGTAGTCGCTTCAGTATCAACTTCCTGTCGCTATCAGATTCTGAGCGGACTCCAAGTGTCGCAACTATAAAAAGTGGCCAAAGAACAGTATTTGTCTGAAGAGAGGTATACGGAAGAAGTCCTAAGATCTTGCCTGTGAGTCTGATCATGTGTGCATCCGAAGGGTTTGAGTCGTCAACTCTCGCGTAAAAGTACAACAGGCACGTGAGTCTTTTCAGCTCTGAGACTAACCAGGAATTTTCTTCTTTTGCAGACTTGGGAGATAGTTCGCTTGATGATGGAACTGATGTGTCCTTCAATAGGTGCAAGTTTCTTTCGATTGCATCTCGCTTTTGGTGCCAGGAATTCGTCCTTTCAAGAATGTCATCGTCGCTCTGTAGTGCGCCGCCAGCACCACAGGAAGCATGGCTGGTGAGGTCTGAAATTTCAGATAATAGAGATGTCTGACGCCTTGAGCAGCCTGAAAGGCTTTCAAGCGCAGATCCCTTGCTGTAGAGGAGATGACAGAGGCTGCTGGTGCTGTCTTGAGTCACCGGATTCGTTCCAGCAGTTGAAGCAAGGGCGTCATGATATGTGAAGTAGGCAGCAGCGAAGTCAAAAAGTTCACTGGAGTCAGATGATATGGCTTGGTTTGATACCAGCTCATTCATCAAGAAAGATTTGCCGAAATTGGCATGAACTTTCCAAGCATCTGAGCAATCATGTAGGATCTGAAATCAATTAGTACATGCACACATATAAGTACGTCTAGCTGTAGTGAAGCCAGAACGACTTACCTCGAAGAAACACATCATCATTGTGGAAGCCATGATTTCTTGGGCAAGCATACGTTTCGCATTCGTCTTCACATCGGCTTCCGAGTAGGCGAACACGTGGCCGCGCAATAGTTCCAGAGCTCGGTTTCGATGATCCCAGATTAGGACAGTACTTTCGCCATGCCCCAACACCTGCATTTGTTGGGCTGACGCGGCCAAGATGGCCTGCATGACCGGGCCGTCCGGCGATGATGCTGCAATTCGAAGAATGATCTGACGGTATGGATTTTTATCACAACTCACGACACATCGTGGAGCTATGAACTGGTCGAAATAGTGCCACAAATGGGCTTCTTTATCGTGCAAACCAATTGGAGACAAAGTGAAACGTGGTGATGATGACGAATACCTCGAGATTTTGTCTGAGAGTATCTTGCGTGCCAATTTGGTTGACGTTTCATGCACCGGCATGTCGATGATGACCCCGGCAGATGTACCTTCAAAGTCATGTGCGTGACTGTTTAGAAACATCCACTCTTGAGCATCTCCATCAATATTTGATGATGATGAATGTCTTCTGGAAAAGCTTAGCTGCAGCAGCTCCCATTTCGAGGCGGCTTGCCAACTTAGTTTGACTTCATATTGACAGGCTAGTCCCAAACGCTGACAGTGATCGCATATTGGATGTTGTTCTACAGACTCGGTCAGATTTCAGCCTGATCGAAGCTTCCAGTGAAAATATGGGAACGAACCGGGACATTTCACATGGCGTCCTGTGATGCATGTAGTTTGAGCTGGCTGGCATTACTTCGTGCTAACGACCAAGTTACTTACCTCTGCATGTGCGGCAACCGCTTCTCGCCCGGAAGTCCCCACCTCTCCGCCGACGCGCCGGGCTATTGGGGTCGGACATGCTCAGTATATCTTCCCTCTACGGCACGACATAAAGATTGGTTTTCGCTAGATGGTTAGGCGAGGAGATGGTGGTTCCCTCTACGAAGCTATGACATGTTGATGGGATGTTCCGTGTTGAACTGCAGATACGACTTCGGAACCTCGAACAAACACGATAACAGCCAGAGGTAGAAATTGCCAGCCACAGCGGAGGAAGGCCGACACAGTCTCCCTGCCCCGCAGATACATATACCACGTGATGGTAAAGATAGGCGACGATACGGACGGAGGGAGGTTCAGTTCGGCTTCGGTGTGAGGGTGCCGACAAAGTGGCACTAGACTAGGGTTGCCGTTTCCACTTCCCCGCGGTGGACTTGTTATCTCGGACACCTTCGCCGTGGGTGGCCTGACTCCGACCTAGGCGGCAGAACGGCCCTCAATCCGACGTCGGAGCTGAGTGTGACTTGGCTCGCGGAACTCAAAATTGACATCATTCCGCCTTGATCCTCTGACTTTGAATTTTCCTTTGCCATATGACAAAAGGGAAAAAGTTAACATGCCTGACCTGCAAGACTCAATATTGATTGTTGGTGGCGGCACTTTCGGGCTGTCGGCAGCCTATCACTTTACCCGAGCCGGATACAAATGCATCACGATTCTCGAAAAGGGGAAGTCAGTCCCTTCATCCCTTTCGGCAGGCAACGACGTCAACAAAATTATCCGCGCAGAATATGAAGACCCTTTCTACACCGAGCTGGCCTTGCAAGCCATGTCGGAATGGACCGACAACGAGCTATTCGCACCGCACTACCACCAGACAGGATACCTCCTAGCCAACTCATCAGCGGCGCCGGAAAAGACGAAAAAGACCCTGGCTAAATCTCTCGAGAGCATCCGCGTACATCCAGCTTGGGCTGGCAGGATCGAACCGATCAAGAGCAGGGAGGACATCACTAAAGCTGCGCCGGCGCTGGACGGACCCATGAAAGGGTGGGAAGGGTATTTCAACCAATTCGCAGGTTATGCGCATTCCGCAAATGCTCTCAAGGCGGTCTCTGAATATGTCAAAGCTCAGGGTGTTGAAATCCACATTGGGGAGGAGGTTGCAAGTCTCACGTACGAAGGGGACAAGTGTATAGGCGCCCGAACGACTTCCGGGAAAGATTTTACGGCCGTGACCACAATCCTCACAGTCGGGGCTTCACTTGGAAACTTGCTCCCGTCTGTTGGTCGTCAAGTTACCGCAAAGGCATGGAGTGTCCTGCATATTCAACTAGAGCCGGAGGAAGCAGCGCGCTTGAAGGGTATACCAGTCACATACGCCCGAGACCTGGGATTCTTCTTCGAGCCAGAACCTGGCACAGGGATCCTCAAGCTGTCTCCAAGTGGTGGAGGCTACACCAACTACTCGACGACGACAGGCCTGTCCACACCGCCAGAGAAAAACGACTTCGTGCCCGAGGCGGATGTGCGTCGGATTCGGAGGCTGCTCCAGGAAACGCTTCCGGACCTGGCTGATAGGCCTTTAGTAGACCAACACATCTGCTGGTGCGCTGATACAGCGGACTCTGATTATGTTATTGATGCCGTGCCTGGAAAGAAGGGCCTGTATCTGGCGACGGGCGACTCGGGCCACGGCTTCAAAATGCTTCCGGTGGTTGGACAATGGATCAAGGATTTGGTAGAGAAGGGAGAGCAGGATATTGTGCGGTGGAAGTGGAAGGAAGGCAGCGATGCTAGCCACAACGTCAGTTGGCGAGCGGGCGAGGTGGTGGATTTGAAAGACATCGATCATGGATCAGCGCAGTAACGGCCTTCGATAAGAAGAAACAAAGTTCCAAATCCAACCTATGACAAAAGCTCTCATTCGAGATGGCTAATGCATTACACAAGTGGGCATTCTTAATATTTGTCGCACTCATATTTCTTAATATTTGTCGCACTCATATCATCGTTTTGATGGTGGTCTCAGTCCGTGTTATGCCCATCTGAAGATACAACGATGTTGACGTCAGCGCTACATAATCGAGATGACCGCCACATTCTCAGCGCGACGGGTTCGATTTCCACGTGGTTTATGCTCATAGAAGATTGTGTGAGAGTGCCTGGGCTGTCTTTTTCAGTGAGTTGAGCACGTCATGACTATGGAATAGGCCCCAAGACCAAGCTTTTGCTGGGTGTTATAAGTGAACGTCCTGTGCAGTTGAGGAGATCTTTTGAGCACGTTGCCCAGCCCTCGCCAATGTCACGATTTGCTATTAGACAACACCATCTCACATCGATTTGTTTACAATCCTCAAGAAGCTCTCACCGCACATTCTATACTACCGCCAAAATGTCTTCGGATTCCGGCCACATCAACTTCCCTGGCAAGACCTCCGCCACCCCAGGCGAAGAATTCGAAGTCCGCCAAACGTCGACCACCGAAGACTACCATCCCAACCCGTCCAAGTCAATCCCGCTCTCACCCGCGCGCCAGCGACTGATCGACGATATCATCGCGCTATACTCAATGGAGCCCACGGTTGAGCGCGTGAAGCGATACACCGCTGACTGCGTGTACGATGACCAATTCGTCTACGCCAACGACCGGTACAAGATGGCCGGGCAGTGGTTCGCCTTACCCAAGCTCTTCAATGCGAGCATCAATGAGGGTTATGAGATTGTCAAGAACGACCGCGATCTGATCCAATTCAGAAATGAGCAGAGCTGGACTTTCAAGCTCATTCCAAAGACTGCGACGATCAATGCGCTCGTCAGTCTTAGCTTGGACCCTGGCACCGTCGACAGTGATTTCATCCAAGTCAAGTACCACAAGGACCAGGCCAATGACAAGGACTACAGTCACGAGTAAGCTCTGCACCACTTATGAGGCTCAATAACGTGAGGCTAATCAGATATCACAGGGGCGCTGGGTTTTCGTTCAAGAAGTGGCAGGCGGACAATGTTATCAAGGTTATGGATAGTAAAGAGGTCGAAGCCTTCGCTGCGGATAAAGATGCCAGCAAGAACAAGGTGAAGAAGTATGGCACTGGCAAGACCGAAGGGGATGCACCTATCAAAGATCTCTGAGGTATTGCTCATGATAGACTTATGTGGACACGGGCTGATGTCATTCACTGGTTCGAAAAGTCGGTCAAGATAGAATGGCTCCTTCGTCGCATGAGTTCTGTAATGACCACGGGCAAATATCGCACTTTACAAATATCTCTGGGTGCGTCGCCGCAACGTGCTTTTCGGCGTTGATCCACTAGATAAAGTCTTGCTTCTTCCTCGTCAATCCTTCAAAAGCATCACACTGCGTCAATTTCTCTTCGTGCGTCAGTGACTCCTTGAGTATGACAACACATCTAGGTGCATCTTATCAACGACATGAAATGGATCCCCGTGCATCTGGGAATGAGCTGCATGTTGAGTGCTGCCTGCGGAAACTTCGTGGGTGAAGAGCTCGCAACCTGCATGCGCAGCCGATGAATAAACAAATGGCTAAATTTGGACGAAATTAGAATGCGCAGCTTGTTATTAAGCTTAGGATAGCTGCTTCGCCTCCCCGGGGACAGCTAAATCCTGCAGCCTGTTCTAATCATGTCAGCGCTACTGCGGGTGGTGGATGGGCCGAGAACAAGGATCGATTGCCCATCAGTGTTGGAGGATTTTCTCCCCATCAGAATCAAGTGTGCAGTCTCCAGGATGACTTCGACTTACACCTGAATGGCTGAAAGGAACGAGAGGATTATCAAGATGTTGGTGACGGATTATGAGGATCCTTACTGCCATACGGCTCATGTTCATGTCGTGTGGTGTTCGGCAGTTGCTAGACCTGTTGGTACTGCTGACGGAAGGGCTGCAGATTCAATACAAAAGTTTACGGAGTGGGCTTCTATCAACTTGGGTTGGACATAGAGTGAGAGAAACAGGTCGAGTATCGTGACCACTAAACATGATCAATAAACATCAATTTTAACTGTGAGACTAGAGGCAGACTGACTGACGGGTACCACGTGGAGCGGAAGGATGAGAAACAGTTAAACATAGACCGACCGAATCCCACAGCCCTACTTGGCAGCTCCAACCAACAACTAAATGCTGACAGCACTCCTCCGGACGAACAGACTCCCGTCCCTCCCCGCCATGTTTCGCTGTTTGTTTCCCAGAAGGATCCCAGAAGACTGGCACGACTTCCGTGCACCGCCGACGTCAGCCCCGGGGCCGTCAGCACAAACATGCTGCAGCCTGCGATATTCCGGACTCGTGGCTAGGGTTCTAAGATTGCTGGTCAGCAGCATGACCCCGGATTCAGCAATGAGGCTACAGCTTACTGACATTTTGGCACCCATTTGGACAATGAGTGCTATCTTGATGTAGCCTATGTTGGTATGATTCCAAACCCATCAGCAGAAGGATGCTGTGCCGCACATCGAGGGCATTACCAACCTACCTAGACTAAAGATGGACACTGATTGGCTTGAATGAGGCTGACGCTCATCTGCGGCCACAATGAAGTAGACAATATTGCAATGTTCTGGCATCACGATGAAGTTATATAATATCCTCATCGAACGCCTCTTCATTCCCCTTTTCTCTCATCATCACACACATAACAATATCATCAAGCAAACGAGTTCGCTTTCCGGTTCTCCATCTTTCCTATCTCTCTTTTCCTTGTCTCCTTTGTCAGCTTGGATACCCTCTCTGCCAGTCTCAAAGCACGAAAATAGATAAAGTAATCAAGATGTACACCTCTACCATCCTCTCTTCCATCCTCTTCTCCGCCGCCGCTCTGGCCGCGCCGACCACCAACCCGAACCACCCCTCCTCCTCCGCCACCATCTCCACCCAATCTGACACCAGCTCCATCGACAACGTCCTTCCCCCCATCGTCCCCGTCAACACCCGCGCCGGCAACGCAGACCTCATCACAAAGCTCATGACCGCCCCCACCCAACAAGAGCGTGTCCGCCTCCTCAACCAGCCTGGCGACTTTGTCTTCGACTTCAACGACTCCGGTGCCCCTGAGGGCTCCGAGTCCCGTGGCAAGGGCGGTTTCTCCACCTCCGCCACGGCAAAGACCTTCCCGGCCCTCATCGGCAACGGCGCCGCCATGACCCTCGGCTTCCTCGGCCCCTGCGGCATGAACACGGCCCACGTCCACAACCGCGCCACCGAGCTCAACGTGATTGTCAAGGGCCGCCTCGTCACCAACTTTGTCGTCGAGAACGGCCTCGACCCCATCGCAAACACCATGGAGACCTACCAAATGTCCGTCTTCCCCCAGGGCGCAATCCACCAGGAGTTCAACCCCGACTGCGAGGATGCCGTCTTCGTCGCCGGCTTCAACAACGTCGACCCCGGCGTCGAGCAGGTTGCCCAGGCTTTCTTCAACCTCCGCCCCGATGTCGTATCTGCTACTCTCGGCGGCGTGCAGAGCATTGACGGAGCCGACCTCGAGAGCTTCCGTAAGCACATCCCTGCCAACATTGCTCTCGGCATCGACGCCTGCTTGAACAAGTGCGGCATCAAGCGCAACGCGAAGCGCGATCTCAACGAGATCTTTGGCGCTCCTCAGAACTAGATTGACTAGTAGTTGGGGCTTGCGATTGGAATGGCAATTGTAAATATGCATTGTTATATGGGGCATGACGGTCAGCATTTGGGCGAAGGCATTTAGAGGCATTTGGTGGGGCATAGCATCGGTTGCATAGCCAAGGACTTTGGCTCATTGGCGTTAAGGATCTGGATATCGAATACTTGTTTTACACATTGTCAATACACTCTTCTACTCAGCTTTCTTTCTTGACTTCACCTCACTGAACACTGCAGCTCGATAAGGAAAGAGCCGCTGAGTCGTCGAGCCGCTTCATTCGGCCGAGATTGTGCAATGCAACCCACATGCCTAAGCAAGAATTAGTGACAGATGATTTGGAGAATGACATCCACACAAGTCCCAATTGCTGTCGGAAAAGTAGATCCATTCACCTTGGCCAACGGGCTCTAAGACATTGCGAATTGAGTTGCATCAGCACGCCTCAGCGTCGTAAAGTCAGAGTTGCATCGCATCGGGCGAACTGCCAACCCTGCGTTGGATGTGTGAGGATCAAAAGTGCAACTTAGGCTTCCTTCCTTCGCGGATTGCCTACGGTGCAGCAGACCGCCACGACAGGCCCTTGTCCGGGGATTTCGCACCCAGGGGAAAACAATGCGATGCCGCGCACATTTGCCGGTAGTTTCGCCGCTAGAGAGATGATCTCTCAGCCTAGAGTCTCAGGTGCGGAGGAGGTCAGGTGGCTTGTGTGTATAAACGAGAGACACTTTCTCAGCTCGTTGGAGTATAAAAAAAGCAAGTTGGCGGATGTGAACTTTGGTTGAAAGGCAACCCAATGCAACCCAACTTTGTATCACATTTTCCCCATCATCGTCAAGCTTCAAACATGACACAAGAATTTGACTTCATAGTTGTTGGCGGTAAGTTCAATGTTCCTGGATACAAGGTTGTGTGAGGGGTACGCCTCTTCATCCTCGGATATCGCAACGAACCCCTCACGAGAGGAGAAACCGCACTAACAACAGACGACGATCAGGTGGCACAGCGGGGTGTCTCCTCGCCTCTCGTCTCGCAAACACTGTATTGAAGCCCAGTGTTGCGCTGCTAGAAGGTGGCGGTGACATCAGCAAACCCGAGTACAGGCGCACAGCCGAACGATTCAGCACCATTGCCCAGCCAGGTCTCGATTATGGTTACGCCTCTACTCCACAGGAGAACGCGAGAAACCGTGAAGTGCCACAGGCTCGCGGTAAGGGGCTGGGAGGCTCGAGTGCTACCAACTTCCAGGTCTGGTCGCTTGGAGCGCGCGCCGAATTCGATGCATGGGCTGCAGTTGCAGGCGACGATGCCTGGGGATTTGATTCCGTGATTGAACGAGTTAAAAAGGTGAACGAAACTCAGACTTCTAGAAACACGTCACTCTGGCCAGTCTCATTTACTAACATCGACAAGCTGGAAAATCTTCATCTTGATGATCTTTCCAAGGAGTGGGCTGAATATGTGAAGCCTGACCCAAAGTACCACGGATTCTCCGGGTAATAAGGCACATCTCGCTGGAGTGATCTAATTCTCTAACATGGAACAGACCTATCGACGTCTCTATCGGTCACGTGGAACGAGAAACAAAGGCCTTTATCGATGCTGGAGTTGACCTTGGGGTGAGTCCTTGGACATATGATGCCGAATGTTAGATATTGATACTGACCCAATGACAGCACCAGCGCAATCTTGACCCCAACGATGGTGATCCAATTGGGTTCTCATTGAACTCGACAACGAGTCTGAACGGCGTCCGGGTTACTGGTGCATCTGCCTTCCTCGAGAAAAACGTACCAGCAAACTTGACCATCCTCACAGAGAGTCGTGTGGTCAAAATTATCTTTGAGAAGGATCGCGCAGTGGGTGTGCTAAAAGAGGACGGTTCTCAGGGTACGTTTTAGGTAGAACCTTGGTTGAAATAGTATGCTGACTCTTGTGTCCACCTCAGTCCGAGCTAAGAACGAAGTCATCCTGTCGGCTGGTGCCCTTGACAGTCCCCGTTTACTGCTACTTTCAGGCATCGGCCCTCGAGCGGACCTGGATGCTCTTGGAATTCCTGTGGTTAAGAGTCTTGACGGAGTGGGGAAGTCCTTCACGGATCACCCCATGATTGTGACTTGCTTCCAGATGAAGTCCGGCTTCACTGATAGAATGGGGCTCTCTGATCCAAGTAAGTATCAGGAGGCCGTGGAGCAACTCGCAGAGAGTGGAAACGGCCCGCTTTTGGGGCACTTCTCTTCTGTTCCCCATGCTTTCCTCAAAAATGATCGGGCATATGAGTCCCCCGAATTCAAGAAGCTTCCAGCAGATGTGAAGGATTATCTGCTTGAGAACGGCGTTCCCAGCTATGAACTCGTGGTAGGTGTCTCTCTCGGCATCAGGCACTCGATTGAAGTCCACTCTCGTTTAACATTAGGCTACAGATTGGGCCCTTGATTCCCCCTGACCATATCTTCGAAAAATCCAGCGACGGTTTCTTCTCAGTATTCGTCGCGAACATGAACTCCGTTTCTCGAGGAACAATCAAGCTGGCTTCCGCAAACCCGAATGACGCCCCTCTGATTGATCCAAAGTATCTCAGCAACCCTTTCGACTTGGTTAACTTGCGTGAAGCACTAAGGGAAGGACTCAATCTTTTGAAGACTAGCACGATGAAGGACCATTTCGTCAGACCGATATTTGCCCCAAAGTCTGACAGCGACAAAGACATCGATGTGAGTTTGGAGAGTGTTTCGCGTCTCCTCGCTTTATACTGACTGCGTATTCAGGACTTCATCCAAGAGAATGTTGCGGGGTTATGGCATCCATCCTGCAGCGTGAAGATGGGTAGGAGCGAACAAGATGGCAGCTGTGTCAACGGTGACCTTCGAGTTCATGGGTTGAATGGCTTGCGTGTTGCCGATCTGAGCGTGACATCTATACTACCCAGGTATGTTTCTCATCTTCCCTAAGTAAGTATAGTACTAGACAATGGCTAACGATAATTTGACAGTGGTCGTGAGTTCGCCATTTTAGCATGCTCGATATTCACATCGCATTCAACGGACTCCTGGCGCTCTATGCTGACTGATGCTTGCAGACCCCCAGATCGTCGCCTACGTTATCGGGCAACTAGCCGCAGAGAAAATCGCGCGAGACTACGGGCTGGACACCAAGAGGCGAGAAAAGATCTAGTTGAACAAGGATGTACGAGTGTATTTAAAGAGAGTAATCTTAGTAGTAGACCAAATCCAACAATTCGTCCCTTAGATGACATATCTAAAGCCTTTTCCAATCAATAATGGCTGACCAACAGCCTCTGCTTCCTACTCCCTGATCTCCAGCTTCTTGTTCTCCCTCTTCAGGACAAAGTGCAACACAGTGGCAGCGACAATCGCCATCAATGCCATAGCGGCATTCACGCTGAAAGCCAAGACGAACCTTGGCGTCGCGTTATTGGGGTATAAGTAAGATCCGTAGATGCCTGAGAGTGTAGAAAATGCATTATTGAACGCGACCGCAGCGGCGCGCTTGGACGTGGGTCGATAGATCGTGTTGGCTGTCCAGACCATGGACATGTTGAAGCCAGTGTAGATCCCAGGAAGCATGATCATCGCGCCAAAGTACCGCGGCCCGATCCCCGTTGCGGCGCTGGAGATGATGAAACCGACGAGTGAGCAAGCCAGCGGGGCGACGGTATGCCAGTATCTCTCGTTCATGCGGTCGGCATTCCAAGACACTGCCGCGCAAACGATGCACGCCAGAAGATAGGGCGGCGAGGTAAGAAGCAACGTCGTAATGCGATCCTTTCCGAGACTCGCGACAACGGTGGGGAAGAAGCTATTGATAGAAATCGACGACGCAGCACCATAGACAAGCACAACAAGAATCCAATTGATCGGGTCAATCAAGAGCATTTTGAAGCCGTCAAATATGGGTTGTGAAGAGGAGTTCGTCCAGTCCTCTTCGCCCGCAGCATCGACTTCCATGCGCCACATCGCCAGCTGTCGTTCTTGGTCCGTTAGCCACTTGGTGTTGGCGGGGAAGTCTGGCAGCACGAAGAAGGCGCCGAGAGCGATGGCGACGGTGAGTGATCCCTCAATGATGAAAAGCCAACGCCAGGCTAGCAGGCCGCGAGCGCCGTCCATGCCATTCGTGATGCCGGCGGCAATAAGACCAGAGAAGGCTCCCGAGAGCATGGAACCGCTGTAGAATAGCCCAGTGCGGACGCCGAGCTCTTTGCGGACGTACCAGGAGCTGAGAGTTGCAAGACAGCCTGATGTCGCAGCGTCATTAGCACTTTGTCTCCATGTAGTCTTGTTCGAGTGCGTATTTTGACTTACCTGGGTAGAAGGCTGCTTCAACAAACCCAAGAAAGAATCGAGTTGCCAACAAGCCTCCGAAACTATGTGTGGCGCCGCTACAGGCACACAATATACCCTGATAGTTTGCATGATCATCAGCATGATGCTCTGGTGAAGGATGGTTACACAAACCGAGATCCGAATGAAGAAATTCCGGCACGCGTTGCTGTAGGTGATGCGTCACGTTACACCCACGTAATGCGGCCATGGGTTCGCCAAACAACACGGTAGTGTGATCTAACCGGCCGATCCTGAACAGGACAAAAAGGAAGCGACATCATGTCTAAAACTTACCCAAACGCACATGCATCCCGTCAAATAGATGGCAGGGCGTCCGATTTTGTTGAGGAACATGTTTGAAGGTACTTGCATCAGGATGTACCCGACAAAGAGGATCGAAACGCAGGTCTGGAGATATTGCTAAATTAGCTTGAAGCCTTTGGAGTTCAGAGCTATCGTTCATTCGGGCTCTAGCTTACCTGGAATTCGTTGCCAGTCAGACCCAAGTCTTTCTCTAACCCACCTAGTCTAGCGGAGCCAATGGCATTCCTATCCTGTCGTAAGTATGAGCTCTAGCAGTGGGTATCGACAACTGGCTGACCTATCGAGGTAGTTCATGATATAGATCAGAATCATTGTGGGCAACATCCGTAAGTCAACCTTCCTGATCAACTTCTTCTCGAGGCTCTTCAACTCCCCTTCTGACAGGTCTCTGAGAAGCTCCGGCAATTCCCTCGCGGGCCATATCGTCGTCTGTCCCTCGGAACTCGACTTGCTGTCTGAGGTCAAATCCATCACTGCTTTCTGCGGGTCAGAAAGTTTTATTGCTTCTGTATGGGTCGACATCTTTGCGGGCAACTTCAGCGAAACGACGAAAGCAGTTGAAGGCAGAAATCGCGTCCTCTCGAGCTCCCTTAACAGAAAATCAAACAATTGGAACAGATATATACCTGCGTTCCTCGGTTGCAGCAAGCCGTCGACGTTCAAGGAAAGAGGTCTGCAATGGCACCCAGTTGACCTATTGATGAAGGTAGGCAAATGATCCGATTGCTAGCAGGTCTAGCCCGGAATCTCTTCTCCAATCGTTGATAACAGTTTATCGGTATCTCGTCGAGATAAGTGCCCGTGTAAACAAGGACGAGGGTACCTTGGAAAAACAGGCTAAAATGCGACCGTCTCCGCTCAATGTCAAGCTGTAAGTCGATTTGATAGTATCCACTTTGTGACGGCTGTTAATGCAAGGATGCCGTAGCTTCGAAGCCAAGGATCGCAAACGAAAGTTTGAGAGTCGCAGATTGTGGGGGAAAGGAGAAAGACGCAATTGTGTCAAGAAATCTGTCACATTATCATTCGGCCGCTAGAGCTGAGAAGCCGAACGCGTATTATTGTGATGTGGTTGTCCGACAAGACTCCAAGAGTGACGGAGTGCCAATCGTCCTCTCTTTATCCTCCCCTTTGCGTACCTCCGTCATTGTTCCTCATTGATTCTCTTCTTGGCTCGGCGATGGACTCGGCGCCACGAACCCGATGGGCGCACAAGCTCAAAACGTTCTCGTCATTTCGTCGGGGAGGCGGATCTCGAAGCCGACGACTCACGGCATTATGGCCCGTTGGATCTCTAATTCAATCGAGGGGTGGCGCACTTGGCACAAGTTGGCAGGCATCGATTGACAAGGGATCTGGGTTGTTGCGCGGTCACTCTGGCAATTTGATTGGGGATATCTCGTCGGCCCCGTCCCATCGATATGGTTCCCGGGGAAGCACGGATGTTCCGCCCATTGCTGCGCCGCATGGGTGCGGCCATAAGAAAGCTCCTCGGCTTCTTGGTCGGTGGTCTTTGCATCACCGGCCGAACTTCATTCTTCAGCTTAGTTATAAGAGTCCAACAGGTAGTTTGAGCAATGAAAAGGCAGGGAATTTGAGGTTAAACCAGGTAGCAAAGACCACAATCACCACAGTTTCAACATCGACCATTTCTTAACCTCTCAAAGTATTCTCATCCTCGATATGGCCAAGCCATCAATTCTCATCGTAGGCGGAGGCGTCTTCGGTACGTCGACAGCCTACCATCTCTCACAAAGAGGCTACGACAACGTCACCGTGCTTGATCGCTTCGACGCACCCTCCAAAGACTCTGCGGCAACCGACCTGAACAAGGTCGTACGCGCTGACTACCCCAACCCGCTGTACGCGAAGCTAGGCATGGAGAGCATGCGAGAGTGGAAGGACCCCCAATCCATATTCGCAGGGATGTATCGTGAGAGCGGCTGGGTCATGGCGGGCCACGGTTTGACGCGGGGGTGGCTTAATACCGCCATGGAGACGGCCAAGAAGGCTGGTCGCGAGGGCGTGCGGTTCATGACGGCCGGGGAGATGAAAAAGAGGTGGCCCGCTCTGACAGGGGAGTTTCCGGACTGGACCAACTTGTGGAGTCCTGCGGCCGGTTGGGTGAGCTCCTATTTTGCAAAACGATATCACATCCACGAGGATAGCGCAGCAAACTGACGACGATCTGGAAATAGGTGCCGTCTGGACAAGCTCTGTTGAGGATGGCCAACGCTGCCAAGTCACAGGGGGTCAAGTATATCTGTGGAGAGTCCGGTTATGCCAAAAAGCTGGTGTTAGACAGCAACGGGAAGTGCGAGGGCGTCCTGGCCGCAGACGGGACACTGCACGTAGCGGACCTCGTTGTGTTGTCTACTGGTGCCAATACCGCGACCCTAGTTGATGCAAAAAAGGAGGTTGTGGCACAAACATCAGTCATCTGTGTGATGAAGCTGGAACCACATGAGATTGAAAAGTACAAGGATATGCCAATCATCGATGACTTTGAGCAAGGTAAGTAAATGCCAGAAGCATGGCAGGAAATACGAAACTGATCGAGGAACCTAGGCATCATATTTCCTCCCGACGAGAACGGCTTGATCAAGCTCTGTAGTTGCAGGTGTCTCACGAACTATTGCAACAGATATGTTCCGGGGGCTTCCATCTTGCACTCTCTAGGCGATTATCCCGATGACGGATGTCCTAGAGAAGTTGAAGATGAGATGCGTACGTTTATTAGAGAGATGATTCCGGAACTCGCTGATCGGCCATTCATCTCTTCCAAAATGTGCTGGTACGTTATTAGATTTCATCCAATTGATGTTGCTGCCGTACTTCACCGATCGCTTCTGAAAACTCGATGCTAACTCAGATCCAAGGGACGGCCTTGCCGGTGATCTTAACTTCAGAATTTGCCCTTATCCCGAGACTCAGAACTTGTTTGTGGCAACGATTGGCTCAAATCATGGATTCAAGTTCCTCCCAATCATTGGAAAGTACGTCGCCGACATGCTCGAGGGAAATTTGGGAAAGGACTGGCAGGATCTGTGGGCTTGGAAGTTTGGAAAGATTCCTGACGACTTCCAAGACCCTCATCCGTGGCCGCTCCGCGATATTTCGGACTTATCAGGCTGGAAAGGCCGGAATGCGGCTGGCGATGGTAAACTCCCTTGGACATGGAGTCGACTCTAGACGCAAGTCTAATTACTGTTTAATGAGATATACATACTTGATGAGTTGCCGCATGAACTATCCTACCAAAGTTTTCTGACACTTTCTTGTGTCTTCTCGGAAATAAAGTCATCTGGACGTGTTGCAGTGCCGATTATTCCCATTCGCAATGCAGGATTCGTTCTCTAATATCGAATGCCAACATCCAATAGAGCCTGGTCCTTGCGGCCAACACCAACAGCGAATCGCAAGTTGACAAATCCTAGTGCAACGCCATTACACATGACAACTAGCAGGGGCCGATGCATGTCGCCCCGCCGCTATCATTATGTACGACCCAGCAAACATGCTTCCAACTACTTAAACGGGTTGGAGGATGTTCGTTATCAGTAAGAACCTCCGCGCCATCGATACCAGTCCGCGTGGCCAACGTGGGGCCCCCCTCTTTACCCCGTATTGCCTTTCGTCTTGGACCTTCCCACCTCCGATACCGCCGGCAAACGACATTAAGCAAAAGGGCATTTTGATCTGAGAGGTCGTTTGAAACGAGTCCATGTCTTTATGGAGCATCACCCACAACCCCGTTATCGTTGAAAGTTGTTGAACCACTAGACAATTGAGACGTCGTGACATCCAGTTGTGATGATGACTAGAACGCCAAGAGGTCGAAGCGCAGTAGCTTGCAAAGCCTGCCATACACAAAAGCTCAAATGCAATGGTGGTATGTCTTTGCATCGCAACCACGTTAATTCTGCTGACAGACATGCCCGTAAGGAGCACCGTGCGAGCGATGTCAGACCCGTGGACGGCCCTGCGTCTACCCTGTGAGAGAGAAATACATTACGGTGCCTCAAAGCTATTTGAGAAGACTCGAGAGACAGCCAGCCGTGGCGCAGCGGTCGGGAGATACAATCTCGTCGCCAGAGTCGGTTCGTACGGAATCAAATGACTTTCCTGCGCCACTCTCGCCCAAATCTAGTCGAATTATCAAAGAAGAAGAACTGGAAGACTGCAGTGCGGAATTCTTCGTGAAAAGGCTACGACAACTCTCGTGGACAGCAACATCCGGAGATCCAAATAGCAAACAGGCCAAAGAGTCTTCAAATGGAAGTGCCGATAGTTACACATATTCCCGGCTGAAGTTCGATTTCCTACGTAAGTCGGTTTCGGTTTCTAATGATAGCCGGCTAGACGTTGACTGATGTGATACACAGAGTCTGAAGTCTCCTTCCGACTTCCGCCACGACCATATGCATTCCACCTACTCCAGGCTTTTGATGAAGGCTTCAGCGAATATCATTGGTTTCTCCGCAAGAGGTTCCGGGAAAGGATCCTCTTGACATACTCGGACCCGCAGTCGCAATCCCATGATCGCAACTGGCTGTGCAGAGTCTCGGTCGTCCTCGCCCTTGCAGAGAGCTGGAACCGATCGCGAATGTCATCAGCTGTGCACATGGATCTTGCGGGGAAGCATCCGGCTAGTCCACCTCAAAAAGAAGCGGCTGTTCCTCTGAATATGCCTCCACATTCGCAGTCAACGTCGCAAACACTGCCGCCACCTCCCGGGTCCGACTTCTTCGAACAAGGGCTGATGTTACTGAAAATGTCCGCAGAGGAGCCAGTGCCTGAAGATGTTGAAGCACTTTGCTTAATCGTGAGTAATAGGAAGGGACCAATCAAATCATCAGCTAACAAAATGTCAAGGCCTTCTACTGCTACTCACTCAACCGACGTAAAACGGCTTACTCGTACGCCAGTCAGAGCGTAGCACTCGCCAAGCTCTTGCATCTCCACAAGCCACATCCTCTGCCCAAGGCACCAGACCAACAGCGTCAAGTACGTGTGATGAACGAGCATAGAAAAAGGCTTTGGTGGACATCCTACTGCATGGATAGGATGATATCAACTGAGCTTGGCGTCGCTGCAGCCGTGTCTTGTGTGCCGGAAGGCATGCAACTCCCGTCATCTGCCGAACTAGATGCAGAAGACCTCGAAGAATTTTCCGATCCGGGACTTTTGACGATGCAGACTCAGCTCTGTGAGATCAAACGCAATGTGGTCAGAACTGCAGCTCAGCATGTCGACGTCGATGACGAGCGTCGGCTGGAAATTATCAAACCATGTCTTGATACCCTGCAGGAGTGGAGATCAAGTCTGCCGCAACAGGTCGCTTTCACGTTTGAGGAGAGCCTGCCTACAAGATTGATGGAAGCACCCCATGGCAGGATTCTGGCATCAACCTACATGCGATATCATCAGGTGAGCTCTTCTTCCAACTTGTGTTCTCGACCGATCCTCAGCGTGACCTCTGACAATGACACAGTGCTTTATCCTCTTGTTGAGGCCTCTCTACCTTCAGAAACTGTCCTTGATCGTTCAAAAGCGGCGCTTGAACAACCCTTTGAGTCTCACCAGCCCCGGCACACCACTAGATGTGGACGATCCGACAAGGGCAGTCAAGATACAGTGTCTTCAAGCCGCCAGGAACAACTGCAAGATATTATTGGGACTCTGGAATTATGATAAGATTGGTAAAACTTGGCATCTGTGAGATGAGCCTCAATGAGATGCGAAGAGCTGACAGCTGTTTGCCCAGCGAAATTCGGATACTGGGAATCCCTGCACCTCTTCTCTGGCCTCGCAATTCTGGCCCTCGCCCGAGTCTCGATCGAGGAAGGGAAAGA